GACGGCGCCTCGAGCAGGTTCGAGCTCTCGGCGTTCGTGCCGGCGCGCATGCACGGGCAGAGGCACTGCATCATCGTTGTGTTGTGTGTGTCTGTTGGTGATCGATTGGTGGCGTGCCGAGCGTGTTATGTCGTGCGCCTGCGCCGGCGAGGTCGCGCCGCCGACGACGACGCTGTCGACGCGAGGACGCGCCGCGACGACGACGAGGTGCGTCTCACGACACAGATCACGGACAGGTGGAACGTCGGCTTCGAAACAGCACATATGCGATGGTGAAGCGCGCATGGCAGCCCATGAGCGGCACATAAGTGCCCCGTGAAGCAGCACCGATGCCGCGGCGATGAGCAGCACCGATGCCGCGGCGATGAGCGGCGCCGCGATGAACGACAACAACGCGAGCGCGGCGATGGCGTCGCGCGTCGCGTGCCTCGCCGGCGCGCAGGCGAACGCGTCGGCGCCGCTGCTCACCTTCGTCGACGACGAGCGAGGCTGCGGCCTCGGGTGCCGCTTCCTGCGGCTCACGGCGGCCTTCGTGGCGGCCCTCGACGCGCGCGCGGTGCTCGCGCTGTCGCCGGCGTCGAATTGGTACTACGCGGGCGACTGCGCCGAGGGCCACGCGTGCTACTTCGAGCCCATCACGCCGCGCGAGAGCGCCGTGGCGCTGTCCCTCGGCGCGCGGAAGCACGCCCACGCGGACCAGTGGGAGGCGCCCGGCCCCGTCGGCGGCGGCGCCGTCTTCACGCGCGCGAGCCTCGACCGGTTCTGGGGCCACTACCGCGTGCGGAGGGGCCGCCGCGCGGACCACGCCTGCTTCGCGGGCGTCGCCGACCCCTGCGAGCAGTCCGCGGCGGCCGCGGCCTACCTCCTGCGGCCGAACGCGGCGCTCCGGGCCCGCGCGGCGGCCGCGGCGCCGCCGCCGGGGCCGCCGTTCCTCGCGGCGCACGTGCGCCACGGCGACAAGTCGCGCGAGCGCGCGCCGGGCGCGCCGGAGGTCGGGCTCGCGGCCGTCGTCGACGCCGCCGCGCGGCGCTTCCCGACCGTGAGGGACGTCTGGCTCATGACCGAGGACCCGGCCGTCGTCCGCGACGCGGAGCTGTTCCCGAACTTCACGTTCCGCTACACGGACTTCAACCGGACCAACAAGGCGGAGCACGGCCTCTCGCCGGGCGACGCGCGGCGCCTCGCGGCCAACAGCCTCGCGAATCTCGTCGTCGCGTCCGAGGCCGCGGGCTTCGTCGGCGCGGACGACTCCACGTGGTTCCGCCTCGCGCTCCTCTTCGCCTGGGGCGCGACGGGCCGGAAGCCCAGCGTCGCGCTCCTCGGCCCGTCGCGGTTCTGGACCAAGGGCGGCCTCGGCTCCTGCTTCCGGCTGCCGGACGCGTGCCCGCCGGGCGACGGCCCCTGCGCTCCGGGGGGCTAATGATTAGGAGCGCTCGCTCGGCGAGGAGCGCGCCGCGAGAGGAACGCGCGGGGCGGGGGGCCGTGTGGGCCGGCGCGCCGCGATTCGGGGGAGGGGAGAGGGAGCTGCCGCCCGGACGGGGGTGTCCTCGCCGGGGCTCGAGGCAGACGCGGAAGGTCGCGCGTAAAAGGTGGCGGTGTTTCGCGGGCCGCCGGGGCGGCCGGCGATGAGCGTGTAAACTTGAAAAGGAGAAAAGGGGTGGCCGTCGGCGCCGAAGCGCCGACGGCGTAAACTTGAAAAGGGGTGGCCGTCGGCGCCGAAGCGCCGACGGCGTAAACTTGAAAAGGAGCGACGGGCCGAGGCGCCCGTCCATGGGAGAGCCGATCAGCCCTTGTTGGCGCCGCCGCCGCGGTTGCGGCCGCCGCCGCGGTTGCGGCCCTCGCGGCGGCCGCGGCGGTTGCCGCCGCCGCCGTCGTCCTTGGGCGGGTTGGCCGCCGCGGCGGCCTGGGCCGCCTGCTGCGCGGCCGTGGGCACGGGCGCGCCGCCCGGGAAGCGCTCCGGCGCGCCCTTGTTCGGGCCGTGCGAGCAGAAGAGCCGCGGCTGGACGTCGAGCGACTCGTTGAGCAGGGACGAGTTCTGGAAGCGCTGGATCATGGCCTGCTTGCCCTGGATGCGCGCGTAGGTGATGGCGCAGACCTTGCCCGAGCGGAAGCAGGTCCAGCGGCGGCCGTTGAACTCCTTGAAGAGCCGGAGCGCGTCCTTGGAGACGACGAGGTTGATGAACGCGTAGCCCACGTTGCACTTGTTCTTGAAGTCGATGGGCAGGTAGAAGAAGTCGTAGGTGTTGGCGAACTTGACGTCGAGCTCCTCGAGGACGGCCTTCTGCGTGTACTTGTTGGGGATGTTGCGCACCATGAGCGTCGTGCGCGCGTCGCCGCCCGCGGCCGCCTTGTTCTGGTCGAACGCGAAGTCGCCGTGCGTCGCCGCGCCGTGCATGTGGCGCGGGTCCGCCGGCGGCGGCGCGCCGGGGTCGCCCGCGCCGCGCCGAGCGCGCTGCGTCGCCGCGCGCTCCGCGCGGCGCTCGCGGCGGCTCAGGGGCGCGCCGTCGGGGCCGACGGCGAGCTGCGGCGCCTCGGGCGCGCCCGCGAGCGCGTCCTGCCGCGACTCGAGGCCCAGGCCCCAGGCGTCGGACTGGGACCGCTGCAGGCTCGGCAGCGCCGAGCCGAAGAGCGACCCGACCCGGGGCTCGGACCGCGACGCGGGCAGCGCGCCGTCGTCGAGCGAATCGTACGACCCGAGGCCGTAGGCCGGCTCCCGCGACGGCTCCGGCCGCAGGCCCCAGCCGTCGCCGCCCCAGGACGACGGCTCCGCGTGCAGCCCCCAGGACGGCGGCGCCTCGTCGCGGCGCGAGCCCGCGCGCTCCGCCGCCGTGCGCCCGGGCGGCGACGCGAGCGACAGGCGGTCGAGCGCGTCGCGCAGGTCGCCGTCGCGGACGCGGTAGGCGTCGTCCAGATCGAGGAAGTCGACGGTGACGCCCGCCGCCGCCGGGTCGCGGGACCCGGGGCTCAGCTCGCGCGCCGCGCGCTCCGCGTCGGACCGCGCGAAGAAGGCGACGACGAACTTCGACGACTCCGGCCGGTGCTGGTCGCGCCACTTGTGCACGGCGGCGACGTCGCCGTAGGCGTTGGCGCTGAAGACGTGGCGCACGTCCTGCTCCGCCGTCGCGAGCGGCAGGCCGCTGATGACGACGGACGTCGGCGCGGGGCCGAAGACGACGCCGTGGCAGCGAGCCTCCGGCGCGTCGAGGCGCAGGTCGCCGCCTAAACGGGCCGTGGCCTGGCCGCAGGCGCGCAGGTCGTCGAACTGGACGAAGACGACGCCGAGGGCCGCGTACCTGGCGGGGTCGCGACGCGTCCGGCGGTTTCGTGAGATGGGGTTTTCGAACGCGGGGCGCCTCGCGAGTCGTCGACGCCCGACACGGCGCCGAAGCGGCCCGCCGCCTCGACGACGCGGTTCGTGTCGCAGACGCAGTCGACGACGACGAGGCTCCGCGTCTCCTGGCCCGGCGCGAGGAAGAACGCGCCGAGCTCGTGCTCGGGCGCCGGCGGACGGGGCGCCTCGACGCGGCTCGCGGGCGTGTACTCGGCCGCCGCCGCGGAGAACGACGCCGGCTCGTCGAAGGTCAACCTGCGGGCGGCGGGGGGTCGACGGGGCGCCGGCCCCGGGGCCCGAACGCGCGCGCGCGCGAGCCGTTCGAACGAAACCTCCGACCGCTCCCGCGAAACCGCCGCGACGCGTCGCGCGGGACCCGGGGCCGCGCTGCTCCGCGAGCTTCGACGCCAGGGAGTCCCGGGCCGACGCCGTCGACGCCCCGCCGCCGGACCACGACTCGCCGAGGGAGTAGGACCGCTCGACGGGCGGCTCGTCCAACGTCTGCCCATTCGTGGGCCCGTTCAAAAGCTGCGAGGCGCCCAGCATGCCCGGCGGCCTCGACATCATCCGCCCCCGACCGTTAACGGCTCTTAATTTACCGCCAGACCGATGCGTTGGGGGTCAGGACGGCGTAAACAGTCGCCGCGAGGCCCGGCACGCCGCCTCCGCGTCAAGATCTTCAGATTATCGGCGCTGGACGCGGCGGGCGTCCTTCGGCGCCCGCGCCGCCCATGAAGCCTCCATGACAACACGCAGTGCCCCGATCAACGTACATCTAGGTGCACCCGTACGAAATTAATTAATAAATATCAATCATCGAATTCCGGCCGGCGGAGCCAGAGTCATTAGTCGTCCATAGAGGCTGTACGTCGACCGCGCGCGGTGTCGCGGAGGTCCGCGGGCTGAAATCACGGCCAAAATTGGGTTATGGTCGTATCAAAGCAAGCTCGATGATATTCACGCGTTAATTGCACGTTTGCGATGACTTTTTGCGCGCGGTCGCTGGTTCGGGTCAGGAAATCGCAAGATTTAACTTCAACAAAAGTGCTGAAGTTCAACAAAAATGTTGACTTTTAAATCCAGGCTATCAGAATCTGAGTTTTGATCGGTGCACTGACAACACGTGCATAGCCGCTCTACATAGCCTCCAACTTACGAGCTAATACTTGGGTCAGCAAGCGCAGAGACCACAGCGGCACCTTCATGGCCCTCGGCCACAGCGACTACGCGGGAGAGGAACGCCGCGGCGCCAAGCACGACTCGCCCGCGCGCAAGCGCAGCATCTCGGGCTCGGGCGACGACGCGGCGTAAAGATAAATTAGGCTAGACTCGCGCGTCGAGGCGCGCGAGGGCCGAATTAGCTCTCTCGGCTCTCTCGTGGCCCTTGGCAGCGGCGCGCTCGAACCAGTATCTGGCCTTGCCGAGGTCGACTTCCGTGCCTTCTCCGTCCCTGTAACAGCAGCCAAGGTTAAACTCTCCACGTGTATAGCCTTGATCCGCCGCGAGCGCGTAGTACCGGAACGCTTCTTCATTTTGCTTCTCAGAATCAAGTGAAACCGCTAAATTGGATTGCGCGACCGCGAAGCCCTGATCTGCGGCCGCGCGATACAGCTTCATCGCCTTCTTCTTGTCCAGCTTGACGCCACTTCCATTCTCGTACAATAACCCAAGGCAGTTCATCGCGTCCACGTTTCCGAGCTCCACGGCGCGCTTCCAAATTTTTGCGGCTTTCTTATCGGATTTCACGAGACCCAACCGACCGAGGTGGTACGCGTCTCCCAAAAACGTAATCGCTTCCGGCACCTCGTTCTCCACATGGCGGCGAAGACGCGTGAGTTGCTCCGCATTGGTTTTCGCGCGCGGTAACCGACAGAGGGGACACGCGTCTTCGATCTTTTCTTGGCACGACTCGCAGACCAGCCGGCTGCAGCAGGTACGAATCACGTTCGTCCCATTCACGTCCCACTCCTCGAGGCAGATCGGGCACCGCGACCCGAGCCGCGCCGAGAGCGGCTCGGGCTCCGGGTTCGCCTCGCGCCGCACACGAGCGGCCTCGTGCTCCGCCGCGATGCGCGCGCGGACCTCGTCGGCGTGCGACCGAGGCGCGGGGCCGTAGAATACGTCCCGCGGCGGCGACGGCGGGGGCGTCGGCGCTTCCGCCCGCGCCGCCTCTGCGGCCTGGATCTTCTTGCAGACCTTCCGGTGGCCCCGGTCGCGCCAGTCGATGCGTTGGCAGTCCGTCGAACAGTAGGCCGTCGTGCCGCATCCTTGACAGGCCTTCGCTTTGTCGGCGCCGCAGATCGTGCAGGTCTTGAGAGTGTCGAGCTTTTTGCCCCTCGCTCGGGCCATGCGATTCTCATACTCCAACTTCTTCTCCCGCCACGACATGACTCTACGCGCGTCCTTGACCGGCGGCGTCCTGCTGATAGCGATCCAGATGGCAAAATCGCTCAAAATCTTACCCCAGGGCCGCGCACCCCTAGGCAACCCCTAGAGCATCGCGTTCATGCCCGCCCCTCTTCGGCAGCGGCGTCGGCCTCGCGCCAGGCGGGCTTCGCGTTCAGGAACGCGGCACCGGACCGCGAAGGTCGGCGCGGAGAGGAACGCCGCGGCGCCAAGCACGACTCGCCCGCGCGCAAGCGCAGCATCTCGGGCTCGGGCGACGCGGCGTGAAGACTTAGGCTAGACTCGCGCGTCGAGACTCGCGAGGCTCCTTGTAGCTGCCTCGTGGCCCTTGGCAGCGGCGCGCTCGAACCAGAATCTGGCCTTGCCGAGGTCGACTTCCGTGCCTTCTCCGTCCCTGCAACAGCAGCCAAGGTTAAACTCTGTACGTGTATAGCCTTGATCCGCCGCGAGCGCGTAGTACCGGAACGCTTCTTCATGTTGCTTCTCAGAATCAAGTAAAACCGCTAAATTGGATTGCGCGACCGCGTCGCCTCGATCTGCGGCCGTGCGATACAGCCGCTCCGCCTTCTTCTTGTCCAGCTTGACGCCACTTCCATTCTCGTACAATCTGCCAAGGTTATTCATCGCCTCCACGTCCCCGAGCTCCACGGCGCGCTTCCAAATTTTTGCGGCTTTCTTATCGGATTTCACGAGGCCGTACCAACCTTCGCGGTACGCGTCTCCCAGAAACGAAATCGCTTCCGGCACCTCGTTCTCCACGTGGCGGCGAAGACGCGCGAGCTGCTCCGCATTGCTTTTTGGGCCTGGCAAGCGACAGAGGGGACAGATGCCGGTGCCGATCTTGTCACTGCACGACTTGCAGACCAGCCGGCAGCAGCAGGCGCGAAATTGTTCGGCAGCATTCACGTCCCACTCCTCGAGACAGATCGGGCACCGCCCTCCAAATCGCGCGGACAGCGGCTCCCGGTCCGGGTTCGCCTCGCGTCGCAGACGAGCGGCCTCGTGCTCCGCCGCGATGCGCGCGCGGACTTCGTCGGCGTGCGACCGCGGCGCGGGGCCGTAGAAGACCTCCTCCGGCGCGCGCGTCGGCGCCTCGGCCCGCGCCGCCTCCGCGGCCCGGTCGTCACGGATCTTCTTACACGCCGTGCGGTGGCCCCGCTCGCGCCAGTCGACCTTCTGGCAGGCGACTGAGCAGTACTGCGTCGTACCGCACGGGCAAGGGAGCTTCGCTTTCGCCCCGCAAATTGTGCAAAGCGTGCGGAGCTTCGCGTTCTTCACCCGGGCCATTCTCTGTTCGTATTCCTTCTGCTTTATCTGCCAGTCCTTCGGCGCATCTCCAGAGCTCATCGTGCGCACGTCCACTCGATCAAGTGAGTGTAGTTCTCGGCGACTCTCGCCACTTCGACGCTCGCCAAGCCGCACGCCTATCCACAAAAAAAACAGCTTACGCCACGCGGCACCCCTCGCAGCCCGCCCGGGGCTCGCGGCCCGCGGCGTCGCGCTCCGCGCGCGCGTCGCAGAGCAGGACGACGTCGTCGACGTCCGGCGCGATGCGGCGGCGGACGGCGTCGGCCGCGCGGCGCGCGACGCGCGACTCGCGCGGGTCCGTGGGCCGCGGGCCGGAGAGCGCGCGCCGCGACGCCGCGAGCGCGTACCTAGGAAGAAACTATCACGCAAACGCAGGCGCCGCGGACGCGGGAAGACGCGCGCGGCGGCCTGCGTCGCGTGCGCCCCGTGGAGCGCGCGGAGCCGGAGCGCGCGCGCGTCGTCGGCCTCGTCGGCGGGCGCGACGGCGAGCGCCGCCGCGGCGTCGGACGCCGTCGACGCGGCGCCGAGGAGGAGCGCCGCCGCGACGCCGTGCGTCGTCAGCGCGTCGTCGCGCGGCGGCGCGATCGGCGGCCGGAGCTTCAGCACCGCGCCGAGACCGTGCTTCGGCGCGACGCGCACGTCCGCGGCGACGGAGAGCGCCGCGAGCAGGCGCACGTCGGCCGTCGCCGACGCGACGCGGCCGCGCAGGGCCGCGCGGAGCGGGCCGCGCGCGGCCAACGCGGCGCGCGCGTCGCGCAATGCCGTCGCCGCGCGCCCGAAATGCCGCCGCGCGGCCGTCGCCTGCTCCGGCCCGCGCGCCGCCGCCGCGTCCGCGGCGACGGCGCCCCGGAGCGCCTCCGCGCGGGCGAGCGCGACGGCCGCGCCCGCGCGCGCGTCGTCGCCTGTGTGCGAATCAACCGCCGGTTCGGGTGGTCCCGACCAAACTTCAGAATTCTCGAGCTCGATCAAATCGACGTCGATTCGGCTGATTTTTGGACGAATCGATTGCTCTCGTCGAGTTCTCGAAGCACAGCCAAAGAGGCTGACTGTCGCGTACGCTCACATTGAAGTCGGGTTGAAGATGTGCATTCGGCGCGGGTCGCCGCCGCCGCCGGTCGCGAAGAGCCGCACGCGCTCCAGTCGCCGTCGCAGCGCCGTTGGTCCGCCGCCGCGGGCCCGACGCGCGCGTCCGCGAGGGCGCGCCGCGCGAGCCTCACGGCGAGCGCCGCGTCGGCCCGCGCGGCGGCGCGCGCGAGGTGCGGGATCCAGGCGCCCCCGCGGCTCGCGGCCCGCTCCAGGCCCTCGAGCGCCTCGTCCACGAGGAGCTCGGACGCGAGGCAGCGGCAGGCGGCCCGCTCCCGGTCCCCGCCGCGCGCCTCCCCGCCGCCCAGGAGCCGCAGGGCGCCGAGGAGCAGCTCGACCGCGGCCGCGCGGCACCCGGAGTCCGCGAGACGCCGCGCGCCCCGCCGGAGCCGCGCGGCGCCGCGCGACCGCCGGTCGCGGCCGAAGAAGGCGACCCAGCGCCGCGCGACGCCGAGCGACGCGCCGCGCGCGCAGGCGCCGCCGCCGTGGCCGAAGAGCGCCCACGTCGCGAGCCGCGCGTCGCCGGCGCCCGCGGCCGTGCGCCAGAGCGCGAAGAGGAACTTGAACGTCTCGCCGGCGTCCTTGGCGACGACGACGCCGCCGCCCGTCGCGTCGCGCAGCGCCTCCCAGGCCGCGTGCTCGAGCGCGCCGCCGCTGCCGTCGAAGCCCCGGAGCGAGCGCTGGCGAGGCACGACGGCGAACTGGACGAGCAGCCGCGAGCAGACGCACTCCGCGCGGCCGTGCTCGCGCCAGTCGAAGTAGGACAGGCAGAGCGAGAGCACGGGATTCGGCAGCGCCAGCAGCGGCGAACCCAGCGGTGGATCCATCTCGCAGGCCATCCTTCTGTGCGCGAAATGCGGATACAAACTGACATGGAAGTTTTCAGTGAAGTGTCGTGAAGTATTAAGTTGTTGAGGCTGCCCACGCAGCCCGGCGACTTGCTCGGTCAGAGTGTCGCACGGGACATTTGTTTCGGAGTCGCCGCGCAGCATGGCCCAGCACCACCGCGTCGAAGATGACCTCATCCAGCAGCCCAACGACTGCAAGGCCTTCTGCTTAAAATACTTTTGCGAGGGCCAGCGCCTCGAGGCGTCCCTGGAGGAGAAGATGAAGGCAGAAAAGGTCGAGTGGACGGTGAAGTACCGCAAGCAGCGCGCGCCGGCGTCCCCGAAGATGTCGCGTACGCGGCGAATCCGCACCACGTCTAGGTTGGCCATGCTCATCCCGTTCCTGCTCGTGCACGTCGTCTGGTGGACGGCGTTCATCCGCTGGGACTCGTGGCACAAGTTCACGGACAAGGTGGGCCAGATGGACAAGTACAAGCACCTGCTCCGGAGCGACGTGAAGCCCTGGTACATGTCCGTGACCATGGTCTTCGGGTCCATGGTCGCGGGCATGACGTCCGAGGGCGGCGCGTCCGTCGCGTTCCCCGTGATGACGCTCGCGATGGACGTCAAGCCGCACGTCGCGAAGCAGTTCAGCTACATGATTCAGTCCGTGGGCATGACGGCGGCGGCCTTCGTGATCCTCTACATGCAGGTGCGGGTCGAGTGGAAGTCGATCACCTACTGCTCCATCGGCGGCATGGTCGGTCTCATCTACGGCCTCGAGGAGATCGCGCCGGTCCTGACGCCGCCCTACGCGAAGATGTACTTCGTCGTCATCTGGGGCTCCTTCGCGGCGTCGCTCTACTACCTCAACCGCATCCACGGCCGCAAGGTCTACCTCGTGCTGGACCCGAAGCACCTCCCCGAGATCTGGAAGTCCGCAGACCTGACGCCCTACTGGTGGGCGAACCTCGTGCTCAACTGGAAGGCGCTCGTCCTGCTGGCGGCGGGCTTCATCGGGGGCATCTTCACGTCCTTCGCGGGCTCGGGCATCGACATCTGCTCCTTCTCGGTGCTGACGCTCCTGTTCCGCGTCTCGGAGAAGACGGCGACGCCGACGTCCGTCGTGCTCATGGCGATCAACACGGTCATCGCCATGTGCTACTGCAAGTGGATGATGCGCGAGGGCCTCGAGGCGCTCGCCTGGGAGTTCTTCACCGTGTGCGCGCCCATCGTCGTCATCGGCGCGCCGCTCGGGTCCGTCGTCGGCTCCTACGTGCACCGCCTCGTGCTCGCGACCTTCGTCTACGTGACGGACTTCGTGCAGCTCGTGGGCGCGCTCATCGTCGTCCGGCCCTGGAGCGACCACAAGTGCAACAAGGACGGGGAGCGCGTCCCGCACGGCTCCGCGGGCCGCTGGCGCGGGACGAACTGCGAGCCGGTCCACCTCTGCTGGACGTCGGCCCTCCTCTTCGCCAGCGGCCTCATCGCCTTCTACATCTTCCAGCTCGCCGGCGAGAAGCTCATGGAGCGCAACGCGCGCATCGAGAAGGAGGTCCTCGGCGACGGCGACCCGGGCGACGTCGAGGTCGCGGAGAAGGCCGCGGACGACGAGAGCCCCGTGAGCGCCGTCGTCGTCGCCCCCGGCATCTGAGCCTTGTTTCTAGTCCCCCCTCATTAACATATCTGCTTCGTGTCAAGCGTCGCGGGCCTCCGGATCCGTATAGGCCCGGGCCGCGGCGAGATCGCGCCGCCGCTGCCGCCCAGGCGCCATGGCAGCGGCGCGCGCGATTGCGCCGCCGCCGCCGCCCCAGGCGACTGTGCGACGCGGCGCGAGTCGCGCGCTGCGTCGCGATTCCCAATTCCGGCGCTTCTTACCCGCCGCCGCCGGGCTTTCGCGGCCCGGCGCCTACTCGGACCACTTGGCGAGGCAGTCGGACATGCGGCAGATGACGTAGTCGTCGCCGTCGAGCTTGACGTCGGAGCCGGCGAAGTCGCGGAACTTGACGTACTCGCCGACGCTCACGGGGTTGGGCAGGATTTCGCCGTTCGCCGCGACGCGGCCCTCGCCCATCTTGACGACCTTGCCCGTCGACGTCTTCGCCTGCTCGGCGGCGCCCGGCGCGAGGGCGATGCCCGACACCGTCGTGTCCTCCTGCTTGGTCACGGACACGAGGATGCGGTCGGAGATGCAGCGGACGCCGGCGAAGGACATCGCGCCGGTGTCCCAGGCCAGGAGCACGTCGTCGTCGCGGATGAGCATGTGGTCCTCGCCGCAGTACTTGACGGGCGTGCCGTCGAACTTGCCGTAGAGCACGCTCTCGCCCTCGGCGACGGGCATCGCGATGAGCGTCCCCGTGTCCGGGTGGCTCCGGCCCGGGCCCGCGGCGACGACGGAGCCCTCGCTCGGCTTCTCCTTGGCCTGGTCCGGGAGCAGCACGCCGCCCTTCGTCGCGTCCTTCCCCTCCGTGATCTTCACGAGCGCGTAGTTGCCCACGGGGCTCAGAGCGCTGCCGATGGGCACGTCGTCGAGCGTGTACTCGCGGGCGACGACGCGGCTCGCCGGTCTCGCCGTCGGCGCGATCAATGCGCTCGCGCAGGCGAGGCACGAGAAGGCGAGCAGCCGCGGCGTCATGGTGCTCGAGGCGGCGCCGACGACGACGATGGACTTGCCCTCGTCGCTGCTCAGAAGTTCAATGCAAGGACCTTCAAGGTGCCGTCGAGAGAACGCGCGGCGGGCGCGGCGCGGCTTCTCGTCACGCTCTTCGCGAACTCGGCGCGCAGCCCGGCCTTGCCAATTTTCTCCGCGAACTTGGCCTCGCCCAGGTGCTCCTCGATCTGCCGCGAGAGCTTGTGGACGCCGGCGTTGCTGTACAGGCCCGGCCGCCCTCAGGCTTCCGGAGTCCACGAGGCTTCGCGTAGCTCGCGTTCTTGAACATCCTGCACGACACTGGTTACATGTGCAAGGCCGCCATCGCGACACGCCGCGTCGACGCCGCGCCGGGGTCCGCCGCGAGCACGCGGAGCGGCACGTCGAAGTCGCCCCGGCCCTGCGACGACGCGCCGACGAGCACGGCGCCGGAGCCGTACTACGCGGCCGTATTCGCCATGCGCGCACCGGCGCCCCCAAATACGAACTTGCATTTCACGCGCGACCCCAACGGAGAGTGGCGCTGCGGCGACGGGCAACGCGCGCGCGTCCCGACGCAGGCTGCGGACTTCTGCCGGCTGGCCGATCTCGGCCTCGTAGCCGACGGCGGCGAGCTTGCCGACGCGGCCCTGGTCGATCTGGAGCGCGGCCATTAGGTGACGCAGCTGCGGCTTGACGAAGCCCAGCAAGCCTCCAGCAGCGCGGCCTTGGGCCTCGTGCGCGCCCTCGACCCCCGCACCTGCTTTGGCGCTCTCCCTGCTTGCGCCGCAGCCCTCGCGCGCGCCGCCGCCGCCGCGCGCCACGCCACGCCCCACCGCCTCCGCGCGCCTCCGCGACGCGCAAAGAGACCCGCTCCGCCCCACCGACAACCATCATGGACTTTGACGACGTGCCCGAGGAGGTGCTGAGCCTTTTAGACGACGGCGGCGCCATGGACCTCGACTGGATTTTGGAGGACCCCCCGGCCGTCGCGCCGCCGCGGCCGTCGTCGACGTCGCCGCCGCGCGCGCGGCCCCGCCTCGAGCCGTGCGCCTTCGGGGGCGTCGAGGGCCTGCCGAACCTGTCGTCGGTGTCGCGGTCGCTCGCGACGCCGGCCCCGGAGCTCACGGACCTGAGCGCCGTGTCGCGGTCCTTCGCCGGCGACGAGTCGGCGCCGGCGGCGACCGTGCGGCGCCGCAAGGTGCGGGGGCGGCAGCCGGCGGCCATGGACTGCGACGAGGAGCCGCTGGGCAACATGTCGGCGGTGTCGCACTCGCTCGCGCACCTGGGCATGGTGCGCCAGTGCAACCAGGCGACGCCCCGCGCGCCGCCGGCGCCCGCGGGCCCGCCGCGCGCGCCGCCGAAGCCCGCGCCGCTCTCGAACGCGTCGGCCGTGTCGCGGAACCTCGCGCACGTCGGCGCGGTCCCGCAGTGCAACCAGCAGGCGACGCGGTCCGCGCCCGGCGTCGCGCCCCGCGTGCCCGTCGCCGACGAGGTCGAGCACGAGATCGTCGCCGAGGCCGTGCCCCTCGCCGTGGCCGAGCGGCGGCTCCGGTCCGACGACTCGGCCGAGGGCCGCGCGGCGTTCGACGCCGCGGCCGCGGCCATCGACGCGACGCTCCGCGCGCCGGCGGAGGCGCCCGCGGCGCCGCCGCCGCCGCGGCCCGCGCGGCGCGCGCGCGTCGTCGAGGCGGACCCGGCGAAGATGGGCAAGCTCGAGATCCGCCGCGCGAAGAACCGCGAGGCCGCGGAGCGCATGCGGCGCCGCCGCCGCGAGGAGCACGACACGCTCACGGCCCAGGTCAAGGACCTGACGGACGAGGTCGCGAGCCTCAAGCTCGCGCTCCAGAAGAGCGACGACGACAAGGCCGCGATGGCCGCGGAGCTCCGGCTGCTGCGCGGCGCCGCGGCCGCGCCGGCGAAGCCGGAAAGTCTCGTGCCCGCGGGCGCCTGCCAGGTCGCGACGCCCCTCCCCTGAGGCGCCCTAAGCACGTCTCTCTCTGTCGTTCCCCGATGCGCTCTAAAACGCACGTCGCTCTGTCCCTTAGTCAGCAGAACTTGCCCATCTTGTCGAGGTCCGCGTCGTCGGCCCTAGACCGGAACGCGCCGTCGTCGTCGTCGTCCTCGTCCTTGCCCCGGCGCAGGCGCACGGTGTAGTCGACGACCACGAAGGGCTTGGAGTTGTCCTGGACGAGCCAGACGACGCACGCGAGGAAGACGCCGCAGCAGACCCACGGCCCGTGGAGCGAGAACCGCTCGTAGCGGCTGTGCGTGTGGTGCGGCAGGATGCAGTGGAGCACGAGGTAGACCAGGGAGAAGGCCATGAGCACGACGACGAGCAGCGCCGCGGGCTTCTGGTGCATGACCGAGGCCACGAAGTTCACCCAGTACTTGGGGATGCGGACGCAGTCCACCGACCGGAAGAAGCCGCGGCGGGCTTTCGAGTCGTCGTCGTCGTCGTCGTAGTAGTCCTGCGCGTCGTCGCGGCCGCCGCGCCGCATGGCTGGCGGCAGCGCCCAGCGGCGCTGGTGTGGGTGTGGCTGGCCGAAGACGAGAGAGGCTGCCCCCCGGTCGAAGATGTACTGCACTTAGCTCATGTTGCTGGCCACCTCACCTCAATCTCTGCTTCGTGGCCGCCTCTCGTCGAGCTGTTCGCATCGCAAAGCAATCGCAAGCAACACCCGTCAGCGCGCAGCGTCCATTGCAATGCAGTTGCACCCGCGCACCTCCTCCGCCTCCCCCGCGCCTCCCCTGGAGCCCAGCACCGCCCGCGCGCCAACGCGCGCGCCGTCGCGCATCTCCACACCGCGCATCTCCTCGCAGGCCAAACCACGTCCACCATGCAGAAGCTCATCATCGCCTCCAGCATCGCCACGGCCTCGGCCTTCGTCGCGCCCACGTCCACGGCCTCCGCGTCGACGCTCAAGGCGCAGGAGTCCATGGAGGGCCCGACCGTCGACCCCTGGTACATGGACGGCAAGGAGCCGGACCTGAGCAAGATCCGCGGCGTCTTCCCCGGCAAGTCCATGCCCGCGGACTACGGCTTCGACCCGCTCGGCGTCGCGGCCATCGACGTCTTCTCGAGCGGCGACGACGACTACCTCCGCGTGAAGAACTACCGCGACGCCGAGCTCCGCCACGGCCGCCTCGCGATGCTCGCCGCCGCGGCGTGGCCCGTGCAGGAGCTCGTCCACCCCTGGCTCAACAAGGCCCTCGACGCGCCGAACCTCCTCAGCGACGGCCGCTCGCCGTCCGTGCTCAACGGCGGCCTCGGCGACGGCCCCATCCCGCTCGCTTTGGCTTTCACGGCGATCATGGCGGGCCTCCTCGACATCCGCGCGATCGACATCAAGGAGCGCACGGGCTACGACAAGTGGATCCCCGGCGACTACGGCTTCGACCCCCTCAACATCGTCAAGGGCGCGTCGCCCGTCGCCTTCAAGAACATGCAGGCCAAGGAGATCAACAACGGCCGCCTCGCCATGGTCGCCGTCGCGTGCTACGTCGCCCAGGAGGCGGCGACGGGCGAGCCCATCGTCGCCCTCTCCGAGGGCCTCTTCACGCCCATCATCTACATGCCCTGGTTCCAGCACGTCATGGACACGGCCTTCGGCATCTCCTCCTTCCGCGTTTGAGCGCGGCGAGGATCCTGTGCTCGCTCGTAACCCACTCCCTTGTATCTACTGCGGATCCGGGAGTACGACGAAGTGTTGCTTATGATGTGGGTCCTAGGCGATGGCGTCGCGGTCGCTGCGCCAATAGCCCAGGACGTGCCAGAAGACCGGCGTCGGCAGGGCTTTCCGCGTGCGCCGCGCGTTGTCGGAACTCGTGCAGAAGAGCGCCGCGAGCTCGGGCGGCGGCGCGGCTCGACCGCGGTTGCACAGCTCGCGAAGAATGAGCAGGCTCGCGCGCGGGGCGTTCGCGTAGCGTTTCCAGCCGCCCGCGAGACGGACATCGCGGAGCAGGATGTGGGCGTCATCGAATTCAGAGAATGGTTCGCTGATGAGTAAGGCACAGCGTTCCGCCGTGCTCTTGCGGGCTTCGTAGTCTCTGGCGCCACGGCTGAGAATCAGGCGTAACGCATCGAGCCGTGACGGATGATCTAATCTCGCGTCTTTCACGCATGCCACGAGAAATTTGGCGTGGACGCGGGCCCCGGAATCAAGCAGTGCCACCATAATATCCAGACGAGATTTGGCGATAGCGTAGTGTAGCGCACTCCATCCTGCATGCCACACTCCCGTAAACGGCTGATTATTCGGGTCGGAACCGTGCGCGAGGAGAAGACGGACCATGGGGAGCGACGCTGGACTACTTTCTGTCGGCTCACACAGTGCGTAGTGCATCAATGTCGCCATAGTAACATCTCGCAGATCTGGATCGTGACCCTCGGTCAACCATGTTTCGATCGGCGCCAAACGCTTATATTTTGCGTGGGCGGCGATGACCGCTGGCAGGAATTCCGGCATGAGGTTCGCTTAGGTTCGCCAGGTGTTCTCGTCGTCAGGACGCGGACCATGCGGGTCGCCTCGGAAGCGCGCGCGCGATTACCCGCGAACTGGCGTTCACCGCGCGCGACTGCACGTCGCCGCGCACTGCGCCTCGAGGCTCAAATTTGGCAATGTCAAAACTGAGGATCGGGCGTCGGCGAGCAAAAAACAAGTGGACGCCTCCGCCTCCTCCTCGCGTGTCGAAGCCGCCCACCCTACGCACCGAGTTCACACGACACAACAGGTTAGTCCGTCCTCTGGAACTCGTAGCACGTGTGGCCGTCCTCGTTCGTGAGCTCCGCGTTCGCGCCCTTGGAGAGGAGGTAGTTGCCGAGGTCCTCGTAGCGGTAGCCGAAGGCGAAGTGGAGCGAGCTGTTGCCCTTGAAGTTCTGGGCGTTGATGTCGGCGCCCCGGCGCAGGAGGTACTTGACCACGGCCTTCTCGTTCTGCTGCACGACGAGGCAGAGGAGCGTGTTGCCCGCGTCGTCGCGCGTCTCGATGTCGAGGCCGTTCGTGTCCACGCAGGCCTCGAGCTCGGCCATGTTCGACGTGCGCGCGGCGAAGATGGCGCGCTCCTGGAGCACCTTGACGTCCTCGGTGAGCGAGTGCTCCTTGAGGACGGCCTCGCGCTCGTCCGTGAGCACGGCCTCGTCGACCATCGTCATCTGGCGGGGCCCGCGCTCGACGACCTCCACGAGCTGCACGGGCTGCTGGAAGATGGCCTCGCGGTCCATGCGCCGCCGCGTCGTCGCGAGCACGCGCTCGACGTCGTCGAGGCCGTCCTTGACGAAGAAGACGGGCAGCTGCGACGACGGCCGCCAGTCCGTCGGGTTCTCGCCCCAGGACCGGTCGTCGGCGCTGTGGCGGTGGATGCCCACGAGGAAGTGCGCCGGCAACGAGTTGCTCATGTCGCGGTTCGCCCAGCCCGCCGAGTCCGACGCCAACGTCACGCGCCGCGTCGGCCGTTCCACGAAGTCGGGCCGCGGCGCGATGCGCGGCAGGTGGATCCAGTAGCGCCCCCGGAGGTGGAACTCGAGGCGCCGCCAGGACTCGTGGCCGTACTCCGGCGCCTCGGCGCGCCAGCCCTGGGCGCCGACGCCGTCCACGGGCGGCACGAAGGCCGGCACGGCGGCCCGCGACAGCGCCTCGTCCTGGTCCTGCCGGTGGCCGATGTCCGTGATGCGCATGTCGCGCGCGTCGCTGTGGTCCTGGGGGAAGACGCGCGTCGACACGTCCTCCTCCCAGTCCTCGAAGTCGCCGACCTCGTCGCTGTCGTCGCTCCACCACTCGCCGTCGCGCGCGTCGCCGTCGACCTCGCGACGCCACGGGTCGTCCGCGCGCTCCTGGACCGCCTTGGCCGACCCGTGGTCCTTCGGGCGTTTGTCCACGGGCGCCTGCACGGCGTAGCCCAGCTGCAGCGCGAGCTTCGTCATGAGCTTGTCGTCCTTGATGAGCTTCTCCACGAACGCCTCGTTCCGCTTCTCGTTCGCGATGGCCTCGAGGTTCATCATCGTCGCCTGGGCGTCGGCGGCGCCCTTGTCGCTGACGCCCGCGCGCCGCGCGGCGCGCCGCTTCTCCGACGACTTCGTCGAGTAGGACGCGGAGAACTCCATGTCGTCGTCGCCGAGCTCGAACGTCACCTGTTTGCCCGCGAAGGCCGTGACGACGCCGCCGCCGCCGATGTCGCGGGCCACGGCGTCGTCCAGGTCCATCTGCGACGAGCGCTGCTCGAGGCCGCCGTGCGTGTTGCCCGCGACCTTGCTCGACTTCCGCGGCGTCGGCACCAAGCTCCACAGGTCCGGCGCGTCCCACGTGAGCCGCGGCGGGTCCGCGAGCGCGTCCGTGTTGTAGTAGAAGACGTCGCCCGTCTCGCCGTGCTCGCGCCGCTCCCAGACGCCGCGCTTCTCTAGGACCATGGAGTCCTGGAGCCGCGTCGCCCACCGGTGGTCGCTGTCGCCGATGCCCCGGCCGCCGATGGACGCGGCCGCGACCAGGCGCAGCACCTTGGCCCGCAGCTTCCGCTTCGTCATCTTCGCCGCGGCCTGGTGGAAGGCGGCGCCGTGGACGATGGCCGCGAGCTGCGCCTTGACCGCGTCGCGCTGCTGCGTCCGCAGCCGCCGCTGGCCGACCGCCGCGTACTCGACGTCGAAGGCGCGCTTGGACCGGCGCTTGATCTTGTCGAGGGAGTAGTCGTGCTCGTTCCAGGCCTTGAGCGCCGAACAGACGACGTGGGGCTCGGGGCCCCGCGACACCTTCTCCTGGCCCGTGCCCGCGACGACGTCGCCGCACCCCGTGGCCTTGAAGTCCGTCACCTCGAGAATGTACACGTAGTCCTTGGGGTCCCGGTGGCGCACGAGCTGCTCGACGCAGCGCTGGACGCTGTGGGCGACGGACCGCTCCGTCGCCGCGGGCTTGGCCGGCCCCGCGGCGTCCGCGAACGCCCGCTCGGGCACGCCGAAGACGCGCGGCTTCAGCGCGAAGGACTCCGGGTGCACGAGGGACGCGCACCGCAGCGGATTCAAAATGTGGCGCCGGAAGCCGTCGTCCGCGCGCCGGCCCGCCAGCGCGTCCGCGGTGCTCTCCGAGGGCACGAGGACGAGCGGCGACGGCATGACCGTGACGACCGCGGGCGACGGCGTCCGCGTCTCCCGGTCGTCCCGCCGGTGGTCGTAGTAGACGAAGTGGCCCCGGGCGACGACGATGGGCACGAGGGGCGGGATGCGCGGGTTGTGGGGCTCCAGCGGCGGCGACGGGCTCACCGCGGATTCCACGGGCCACGCGCAGAACCGCGGCGCCAGACGCGGCTCGTCGAGCGCGAGGACGATGCTCACGGTGATGGACTGCGTCGACGAGCAGGCCTCGCTCTTGACGAACATGCCCACGGGCTGGGACCGCGGCAGCGCCGGCGCCTCGACCTTTGGCTCCGTGCACGGCGGCCGCGACGAGTCGGGCGGGCAGCCCACGCGGATGACGCCCGGCACCTTGCCGTCGTCGTCGCCGGCCATCTCGCAGATCCGTAAACTCAACGGCGACATGTCCGCCGGGTCGCCCTCGGCCTCCCAGGGCGCGCCGCCGGAGCCGAGCGCGCCGTCCGCGTCGAGGACGCCGCGGCCCTCGACGCCGAGGTAGCCCGGCTCCTGCGTGCAGGCGGCGCCGTCGCGGCCGTCCTCGACGTCCGGGCCGAACTGCCACTCGGCCCGCGAGAACTGGCCGTAGCCGAACACGAGGCGCATGTCGTCGACGCACGCGGCGCGCGCGGATCGCTCGCGGTCGACGAGCCACCGGAGCCACATCTTCCGCCGCACGTAGGGCTCGTTCGTGTTGGGCACGGTCTTCGCGTGGCGGTAGCGCGCGCTGTAGGGCCGGAAGGGCTGCGTCGTCGCCGGCGGTCTCAGGAGCCAGGGCGCCCGCTCCAGCAGGTCGTCGCCGAAGCGGCCCGACTCGCGGACGCCCTCCGCGAAGAGCTGGCTCGCGAGCGTCGCCTCGGACGCGACGCTTCGGAGGTCGTCGTAGTAGCGCTGGGGCATGTCGCCCAATTTCAGCACCTTGCCGGGCTTGGCGCCGTCGCGGAGCGGCACGTCCTGCGCCTCCTGGTCCTTGGTCCGCCGTTTCGGGAACCGGCCGCTCCGGACGCGCGCGGACCGCGGCCGGTGCACGACGCCCTTCAAGCCGTTGAAGAAGCGGCGGCAGAGCACGTGATTCGGGTCCGGCCGCGTGTAGCCGTCCAAAGGCGGGTTGAAGACCGGCGGCAGGTTCAGCTCCGTGGCCAAACTGCCGCCGTCGCGCCGGAGCGTGTCGAGCAGCGTCGACGCGGTCGCCTTGGACTTGCCGCTCGGGTCCGCCTTGGCGTAGACCTTCTTCGCGATGGCGAGGAATTCCTTCGTCGTGTGGAGCCGCCGCTCGAGCTTGAGGAGCGGCAGGAGCGCCATCGCGACGGGGCCGAGCGCCTGCGCGCGCGCGTTCGACCCGCGCGCCTCGCCGCCCTCGACCAGGGAGCAGCGGTAGTCCTCCTCGACGACCTGGCGCCGCGCCTCGTAGGACGGCCCGGCCTCCACGTCGAAGGGCTTGATCTTGCCCTTGTCGTCCTCGAAAAAGGAGAAGACGTCGCGCGCGAGCGCGTCGTCGCGCGCCGTCGCCGCGGCGGCCGCGGCCTCGCCCTCCTCGACCTTCTCGGCGTAGCGCTTGTCCGTCTTCAACTCCTTGCGCGCCGCGGCCAGACAAGCGACCTCGGACACCGTGAGGCGCCGCAGGAGCCCCGTCTCCACGTGGTAGATCGTGAACCGCCAGCGCCAGGCCCGAAAGTCGTCGCTCCGCCGGCTCCAGCGGCAGCGCCGCCGGTGGATCCAGACCTTGCACTGGACGCCCAGGTCCGCGATGGCCGTGCCCTTGACGAAGCAGTCGACGCCGTCCAGGATGCACTCCATCTGGGGCAATTTCGGCGCCACGGGCGGCGCGATGACCGTGGGGGGGATGAACGTGGGAGCGGACTTGATGTGGGACAGGTCCGGGCCCTCCGTGATCTCCTTTAAGGCCAGCTCGCCGTGGTCCACCGTCGCGTGCGCGAAGAGCTCGACCCGCAGAACGCCGAAGGACGCGAACGCCGTCGCGAAGATCTTCCCGACGCCGTCGACGTCGCGCGCCTTGGTCACGGCCGCGGAGATCTCGAACCAGGCGAGGTGCTCGATGCGCTGGAAGACGGGGTGGCGCCGCACGACGGGGATCTCCGGCGGCGCGGAGCCCGTCTCTAAAGCCGCGAGCTCCAACGCCGCGAGCTCCGCGGCGTACGCGCGGTACTTCTCCTCGCAGTTCGTCTCGTCGCGGTGGCGCCAGCGGATCGCCGCCGACGTGACGAGCTCGTCGAGCGAAATGGCCACGGGCCGCTCCGTCGACGCCTCGGCGACGGTCTTCCGCGGCGGCTCCAAAAACGCGGCCTGGTCCTCCAGATACGCGGACCTGGCCGTGAGCGCGAGGCGCTGGCCCTTGCGCGGGTCGAAGGTCGTGCGCTCGCGGCTCCGCTGGCGCGACGGACCCGTCCGCCTTCGCGGGTCCTCGGAGTCGTCGTCGACCATGGTCTTGTAGGCCGCCTCGCGCGCCGTCGCGACGCCCGCGCCCGCGCGCGACGCGCCCTGGGCCTTCTCCGCCTCGTCGTCCAAGGCCGCCGTGGCGACCTTGGCCGCGTGGGCCGCCGTCTCGCGCGCGAGGGACAGGGAGTGCTCCACGGACTGGATCGACGGCAGCTCGTCGTACTTGTTCGGCACGGAGCCGCGCTTGTCGACGGCGAGCGCCTCGAGCTCGGCGCCCCAGGACTGCTGGCGCCGCTGCGTGAGCTTGGCGTCGACCTGGCTCGCGACCTCCTCGGCTAAGACCGCCGCGGCGACGCGGATGGGCTGCGACGCGCCCACGCGCATGGGAGCGGTCTGGTGCTCCTCGAGCGCGGGCACGCCGAGCAGCGGCAGGCTCCGCGAGTGGTCGCCGCCGGCCGTGCCCCGGGGCACGCTCGCGGCCATGAGGGCGAAGCGCTCCTCGGAGACGTCCGGCGGCATCTCGATGTGCTCCTTCTGGGCCCGCTTCGCCTTCTTGCGGTGGAGGCCGAGCAGCCCCGAGAGCCGCGACGACCGGTCGGACCCGCCGATGTTGCCCGACGCCGTCGCGCTCATCCGCGGCTCCTCGGCCTCGCCGTCCTTGCGCGGCCGGCGCGCCTTCTTCTTCCGCTTCTTGCCGGGGTCGTCGAGGTCCATGTTGAGCTGCGGGGGCGGAGGGTTCGGTCTTCCGGCGCGCGCGCGCGGGGGGAGCGGTCGCACCTGGTCCGAGAAGGACGGCGCCGTGTAGTGCGACTGGGCGATGCGCTTCGTGTTCGCCTGGCGCAGCAGCGACTTCGTCGCGAGCTGCATCTCCGTGTAGAACTTCGTGTCCTCCATCTTCTTGGCGTCGCTCATCGTTTCGTCGAACGTTTCGCGGCGCAGCGCGCGGCGCCGGTCGCGCCGGCGGCGCGCGGTCCGCCGCTCACCGCGCGGCGCCGGGACCGGTCGCAAGGCCGGTAACGACGGCGGCCATGCCGCAGCCCCGAGGCAGGTACCGGCGCGTTGTCGAAGATGTTGCCGTTCAATTAAATTATTTGCGCTTTGCCTACAAGCCAGGGCATGTAGCAGCTCATGGCTCAGCTAGACCTAGCTGCTTCGGACGAGCTGCAGCGCGCTGCAACGCGCATCCTCGACGTGCGCGACGCCGCGCGCTTCGAGGCGGGCCACGCGGCCGGCGCCTACAACATTCCCTGGGAGGAGCTGCGGGACCGGGGCTTCGAGATGCCGAGCCGCGCGACGAAACTGCTCGTGCACTGCGACGCGCCGTTCGTCGCGGAGGTCCGCGCCTGGTTCGCGACGCGCAGCGAGCGCTGCCGCTGGAACGTCGTCGGCGTCTCCGCCGGCGGCGGCCCGGAGCGCGGCCCGTCGCCCGCGGGCCGCTTCCTCTTCGACGCGTCGCCCCTGCTCGCCGCGAGCGCGGACCTTTTGCCGCGATGTGGCCGCGCGCTCGACGTCGGCGCGGGCTCGGGCCGCGACGCGGCGACGCTTTTCCGCTTCGGCCTGCGCGTCGTCGCGGTCGACCGCGACGCGGCCGCGCTCGCGCGCTTCGAGCGGCTCTGCGCGCGCCAGGGCTATCGCGCCGAGGCCGTCCGCGCGACGCTCGAGAAAGCCGGCGACGTCGCGGCCGCGGCGCCGGGGCCCTTCGACGTCGTCACGGTCGCGCGGTTCCTGCACCGGCCGACGCTGAGGGAGCTCGGCGACGCGCTCGCCCCCGGCGGTTTGTTGCTGTACCATACGTTCATGGAGGGCTGCGCGCACCCGACGGATCCCGCCGTCCTGCTCCGCCCGGGCGAGCTGCGGGCCGCGTTCCCGGACTTGGACATCCTCCGGGACGACGTCGCCGAGATCGACGACGGCCGCCGACTCTCCATGTTCGTGGCGCGGAGACCGGACTCATAACACACACAGGGCATTAGAACGCCTCGACACACACAGTGGCATTAGAACGCCTCGACGGGTGTGTAGGTCGGCGCGTCGTCGCGCCGCGCCGCGGGCACGAGCGCGCCGCCGAGCGCGTCGAGGTCCCCGGAGCCCGCGGGCGCGACGGGCTTGGTCCGCGCGAGGGACCGGCCGAAGAGCCGCTTCGCGACGGACGTGCGCGCGCCCTTGCCGTGCTTGAGCGCGTCGCCGACGGACTCGAGCTCCGGCGTCCGCTTCGGCTCCGGCCGGTTGCCCGGCAGGGCGAAGAACGTGCGCTTGAAGCGCCGCGTCTCCATCTGCGGCCGCGCCGAGCCGTCGAGGGCCGGCGGGAGGGGCACGCGCGCGCCGCCGGAGATGGTCGCGCGGACGCCGCCGGCCGCGTACGTCGACACGCGGGCGCCCTTGCGCGCGAGGGCCTTGACGGCGTCCGCGGCCTTCGCCGCGAGGATCTTGCGCATGGCCTGGCGCTTCTGCGGGATGTAGGTGTTGAAGCTGAGCTCCTTGGTCTCGTCGGGGACGCGGCAGTTCCGCCGGTTGATGTCGTCGTGGAGCGGCGTCTTCGCGGCTATATAGCCCGTGATGGGCTTGTGGACGTCGTGGTAGTCCTGCTCGTAGGGCGTCTGGAGCTCCTTGCGCACGTACTTCTTCATGCGCTGCTCGTAGTCGAGCATCTCCTGGGACGTGTGGAGCTTCGTCCAGTCCATCATGTACTGCTCCTTCGGGCTCGTCGCCTGCTTCGCCGGCGGCGTGTTGTAGCCGAGGAGCCGGTTCATCTTCCGCGTGTCGTCCCACTTCTCCTCCTCGCTGAGCTTCTTCACCGAGCTCGGCGAGTCGAAGCTCGAGTTCAAGAGGTCGAACTCCTTTCTATAGAGGTTCCCGTGGCGCCCGCCGGCCATGGTACGGGAGGCGGGCAGCGGCGTACGGGAGGCGGGCAGCGCGGTGTCCGAGGTGGGCAGCCCTTGGCGTTTTGTGTCCTAGCCCATGTCACCGGGGCCACAGGCGGCGTCCGCTTCGCACAGCCCGAGACGTCTAAACTTCTCCATCGAGCTCCGCAGAGCGCGGCGGTTTACGCAGGTCGACGTTGCGGTAAACGCTGAAGGGACACAGGTGTTACCGGAGCGCGCGGCGATGGCCAGCCGTTGCGGGCGAGCGAGGGGGGGGATGCGATGCGAGGCGCGCGCGGGTCGCTCCGGGGGGCGCGGATCGACGGGTCACAGGCACTCGGAGATGATGATGCCGAGGAGGACGGCGAGGAACATGGAGATCTGGAAGGTCGTGTTCATGAGCGTCGCCGCGTAGGACTTGGCCGCGGTGGACTTGAAGTCGCGCGCGGCGTACTCGTAGGAGATGATGCCGAGGTAGCCCGACGACACGGAGAAGATGCCGATGTCCGCGATGACGAAGAGGTCCGACGACGGGATGCCCGGCACGAAGATGTAGACGAAGAAGATCACGGAGAAGATGAGCCGCGAGATGGCAAAGGTCGCGAGCTGTTGCCCCGTCTGGAGGCACTTGGGCCGGGGCAGGGACGTGAAGGGCCGGCCGAACAAATCGCCGAAGAGGCGCGTGAAGTAGAGCACCTGCTCGATGTCGATGCCGGAGTTCGAGTTCGCGTAGGCGAAGAACGCGGCCGTGAAGATGGAGCCGAACATGGTCCAGAAGAGGGCGACGCGGCAGGGCCAGACCTGCTTGGCGATGGCCTCCATGTCGTTGCCGCTCAGCGCGTCGAAGGTCGGCTTGTCGTCGTCGCCGTCCGCCGGCGTTTCGGCCGCGGCCTCGTCGCCCTCGAGCCTGCCCGGCGCCTCGTCGTCGCCCGGCGCCGCGGACACGTCCTCGGCGCTCGAGTTCCGCCGGAAGGCCGCCGTCGCCCCCGAGCCGGACACCGGCGCCTTGGCCTTGTCCTCGATGAGGGGCGCCTTGGTCATGTCGAGCTCGTCGACGCAGCGGTCCTTGTCCGCCAAAAGCGCCTGGATCTTCGGCGACAGCACGAGCATGGTCCAGGCGACGAGGCCGCTCACGGCCAGCGTCGCCATCAAGATGAAGAACACTCTAATCGACGCCGGCGACGCCGTCGAGCCGATGTTGAGGTAGTAGCACGCGACGATCGCGAGGAGCTCCGGCGTCCGGAAGCCCGTCTGCAGCGCGGAGATCGCGCTCGTCGACACCATGGACGCGAGCATGCACGCCGTGCCGTGGAGCATCCAGCTCGACACGCCCAGCGCGGCCATGAGGGCGAGCATCGCGCCGCGCTGCAGCAGCATCATCGGCATGAGCAGCACGACGACCAGGATGACGAGGAAGTTCATCTGGCCCCGGAAGAGGTACATCTTCGAGCTGCCGAACTTCATGTCCCAGTACGTGTCGTAGCGCTGCTGGAGGAAGCTCACGGGCAGGCCCATGATGTAGTAGATGCCGTAGAGCTCGACCTAAAGGCCGCGCCGGTTCGCCGCGGCGACCGTTCGAGGGACGCGGGCCGCGCGCGTAAAAGTTCGCGTTCCGGCTCGCCTTGAAGAAGGCGATGAGCGACCCGATGAAGGTCCAGGGCGCCATGTAGCCCAGGGAGCAGAACCTGCGCGCGGCGCCGTGGGGGGCAGCCTCGATGGTCGACGTCTCGAGCCCGCACCAGAAGAGGGCCGCCTCCTCGAACTTTGCATGGCGCTTGCGCCAGGCGTTCACCGACGCGCACCAGGCGCTGCGCGACACGTAGGACTGCTGCTTCGCCACCATCTCATCGACGCGCGCGGCGGTCGACCATCGCGCTTGAGAAATGGGTGTCTCACAAAGAGCTGATGATCCCGGCCGGGGTGCTTGCGCACTCGGACGAAGCGACCGGTTAGGCGGAGCGAAAAGACTAGCGGTGGGTCGGCGGCGGCAGGGGCGCGGCCTCGATGGTCGACAGGTAGAGGCCCATGGAGACGAGGGCGAAGGACACGAGCTTGGTCCTCCGGTCGTCGACCTCGCGCCCGAAGCCCGCGAAAGCCCGCAGCGCGATGGCGAAGACGAGGTTGAGGAGCTGCTGGACGCCGCCCTCGGCGGCGTTGACGACGGCGGGCTCGTGGAAGTTCGCGTAGGAGAACATGACCACGCAGACGCCCGTCACCGAGAGCAGCTCGCCCGCGGCCGCGACGCCGAGGTAGCGCCGGTCCGCGCGCCGCAGCGCGCGGACGTCGTCCCACCGGAAGCCGTCGCTCAGGCCGCACAGAACGATGCACGCACACGCGAGCGCGTTGCCCAGCCGACTCAGGGCGAAGAAGCGGAGCACGTCGCCGCGGTCCGCGGCCGCCGCGCCGGCCTCGAAGGTGCAGGCGTGCAGCAGCGCGTTGTAGACGCAGATGAGCAATTCGCCGACGATGCAGAAGCGCACCGCGTCCTCGGCGTAGAATTTGGCCTCGCAGAACCGCGACACGCGGCCGCGCGCGGCCGGCAGGAACCCGCCGACGAAGATGCAGAAGATGGCCAGCAGGTGCGCCGGGTGCATGGCCGACGACGCCACGTAGAGCGACGCGCCGTCGAGCGCGACCTCCTCCTCCTCGGCCGCGCTCACGTCGAAGAAGAGCGTCGACAGGAGCAGCGGCTGCGCGGCCCGCAGCAGCGTCATCCACACGGCGGAGAGCTGCAGCAGGGGCGTGATCACCGTGCTGCTCGCCGTGCGGTAGGCCCGCAGCTCCACGGCGTAGGCCACGAAGTGCACGGCGCCCGCGAAGACGGCGACGGCGCCGTCCGTCGTCTTGCTCACGTCGCCGAGGGACCCGAAGCCCAGGCGCAGCGATGCGCCGCAGGCGCACAGGGAGACGAGCGCCGACACGATGGCGTTCTGCTCCGGCGTCAGCTGCGCGCCCCACCGCTCCGGCCGGTCGCCCTTCGACGGCGACGACGACGACAACGACGCGACGGGGCCCGCGGCCGCGTCGGGGCCCGCGTCGCCCCGGGTCGGCTTTTTTTCCACCGGCGGCGGCGCTGCAGCGCTCTCGTCGTCGCCGCCGCCGGCGATGGCGCAGTCGCAGCAGACGTCCGACAGCGCCCAGCAGGACGTCGCAAAGACCGTGGGGATGAGCCAGTGCGCCTCGATGAGCAACGCCATCCGGGTCGCACTGGCGGCGCGCGCGGGCAGGCGCGACGGTGCTGCCGCCGCTGCCCAGGGCCTCAGCTACGACGCGGCGCGGCGGGCGCAAGCTGCCATCGATTAATCCGCTGCACGCTTCGACGGCGACCCACGGCGACCCGCGGCGACCCGCGGCGCGATGGCCTCCGCATCCGTCCGCATCAGATCGCATCGCGCGTCCACGCGCTCCCTCCACAACACACCGGGTCAGTACGAGTCGCGCCCCGTGGGCGTGACGGGGACGACGGGGAAGACCTCCTCGACGAAGCGGCGGTAGGCGCCGCAGCCCTTGAAGGACGCCATGATCGTGTCCTCGATGACGCGCTCCGAGTCCTTCTTGAGGCTGTCGAAGGCGGCGTGGGGCGCGTCCTTCGTGCCGCGGATGGACTCGAGCGTGTGGAGCATGGCGTGCTTCTCCTGGGGCGTCGCGCAGAGGAGGTGGTCCGCGTTGTCGACGAGGCGCGTCGTCGCCTTGGCCGCGGCGTTGCGCTCGAGGACGTCGTCGCTGCCGGACACGCTCCGGTAGTGCTCCACGGCCTGGTAGAAGGCGACGTGGATGTCGAGCTGGAGCGACGACGCGTGCGTCTTCACGTGGCGGATGAAGCGCGCGTCGCGCTTGAGCTGGTTCCACAGGCTGCCGCCGCGCTGCTTCGACGCGCGCTCGAAGTTGCGGATCTCGATCTCGCGCTTCATCATGGGGATCATGTAGCGCATGTTCGGCGAGTTCGCCAGCATGCGGAAGTTCGTCGCGCTGAGGATGAGGGCCTCGACGGGCCCGCGCGCGCGGACGGACGCCGACGCGGCCTCGCCAGTGATGAGGCGCCCCTCGCCGACGTAGAAGGGCGCGTCCAGGCTCGCGACGACGGCCATGGACGCCGTGAGCACGTCGACGGACCCCCTGGCCACGATGATGAGCTCCGGCGGCGCCGCGACCTCGCCCTCCTGGATGATGAGAGCGCCGTCCGCGAAGGGCTTCACCTCGAGGAGCTCCGCGAGCTCGTTCTTCTCGAGCTCGGCGCTCGGCTTCAAGAGCGGGATGTCGTTGATGACGGCGAGCGCCTCGGCGTTCTTGCGCTGCTCCGCGATGATCGCGGCCGTCTGCGTCCGCCGGAGCTCCGCGCGCGCGACGCGCGCCGCGTGCAACTTCCGCCGCGCGGCCTGCTTCTCCTCGAGCGCCGCGACGCGGCAGGCGTGGTCCTCCTCGATCTCCGCCGCGCAGCGCGCGTCCAGCGCCGCGCTCGCGGCCGCGAGCTGCTCCTCGACGACCGCGAGGTCGGACCTGGGCAGCAAAAGGGTGCGAAATTCCCAACTTCAAAGGCTCCGATCTCGGCCGTTTTCCGCTCGTTTCGGCTGATTTTTGGACGAGCGATCATCTCACGGAGCGCTCTCGAAGCGTGGGTGCTGTTTCCGAAACGCGCGCGCGCGGAACACTCACGTTGAAGCGACGTTGAATCACCCTTTTGCTGCCCGAGGTCGGACCAGAAGCCGAGGCGCGCGAGGCGCGCGCGCGCGAGCTGGAGCGCGCGCACGCGCCGGCCGACGGCGCCGTGGCGCGTGCCCTCCGGGTCCAGCAGGCGCACCTTGGCGTCGCGGACGACGTCCGGGCCCGGGTCGTGCGCGGCCGCGTGCCACAGCGGGACTCTCGGCGTCGCGAAGCCGTCGAGCACGGCCGGCAGGCCCGCCCAGGCCCGGTCCCCCCAGGCGGCGCTGTGGGCGCCCCGGGGCACCCGGGCGTGCGCGGCCGCGCGGACCTGCGTCGCCCGCCGCGCCTGGAACTCCGCGAGCGACGACCGCGCGCCGCCGGCGCGGTCGTTTTCCTCCGGCTTGAAGGGGAAGAAGCCGGCGGCGAGCGTGCGCCGGCCGACCCAGGCGGCCTTGACGTGCGCCTTCGATTTCTTCGGCGTCTTCGGCTTGCTCGGCGCCGTCGCACACTCGCCCAGGGGCAGCCCCGTCACCGACGACAGGCCGCGCACGTGGCTCGTGCCCGCGGGCTCCGTCTTGCTCAGCGGCGACTCGACGTCGGCCATGGGCGACGACCCGCGCAGGTACTCTGTAGATGCGAGGTCGACGTCCTCGAAGCGCGTCGTCGACGCTTCTGGAGAGGGCGGCATGGCATCCCCCATCTCGTGAGAGCCTCGGTAACAGCAGCACCTTCTGGTGCACCCTCGGAGCTCCAAGAGTTCGTGCAAGCACCGGGTTGAGTGACAACATGATGGGCAGCCCGACGATTCGCCTGGCCGTCGCCAGCGTCTGCGCCGTGGCGCTCTTCGCCGGCCTGGCGTCGCGGTCGCGCGACGCGGCGACGTTCGTCGCGCTCGACGGGCCGTCCATGGATTCCGAGAAGCGCATGTGCCTCAACAAGCGCACGCTCTTTTCCACGGACCCCTACGCCTCGGGCCACTTTTTAAAGAACTACGTCGGCATCACGCTCGACAGCACGGATTTCGTGGACGTCACATCCAAGAACTTCTCGTCCATCGACGGCGCCGTGGCGAGCGGCTGCGGCCGGGATAAGGCGTGCTGCATGGACCGGGCGACGCTCTCGTCGGGCCCGTCCGTGGCCTACCACATGATCCGATCGAACGTGTCGCTCCCGGGCCACGCCTGGGTGGCGAGCTGGGTCGACTACTGGAATGGGCTCCACCCCGTGCTCAGCAACCTGAGCGCCTGGGATCCCTACCTCTTCTCGTCCACGGGCTTCTGGGTCCCCGACGTGTCCGCGCACGCGCGCCTCGGCGGCGACGCGGCGCTCCGGTCCTACTCCGGCGTCGACGGCGAGCCCATGTACGCCGTCGTGCGCGTCGATGCGGCGACGGGCCGCGTCTGGGAGGTCCACGGCCCGCACGTCGACGAACGGCTCCTGCCGGAGTTCTCGCCGCTCGCGGACGACGCGCGGGCCTGCGAGCCGGCCTTCGGCCCCGCGCGGTCGGCGAAGCAGATGCTCGCGTGGTGGCGCGCGCTCAACGCGACCCAGGAGACGTCCCCGGGCGCCCTCGTCGCGCCGCTCCTGTTCAAGGTCTCCGCGCCGACGAGCGACGTCTCCGCGGCGAACGCCTACTTCGCCGACGCCTGGACGAGCCTGCCCTGGGGCGACGTCGACGTCGCGACGAGCGACGCGTGCGCCTACCTGTCCACGGAGGTGACCATCGACTGCGAGAGCCTGAGCACGGACGACGCGCCCATGGTTCGGTTGTCCCTCGTCGAGGCGCGCGACGACGCGCTGGCCTACGGCGTCGCGGCCTACGAGGCCGACGTCGCGTCGACGCGGGCCGCGCTCATGGGCGCCGGCACGGGCTGGTCGCGCGTGCTGGATGATCACGTGAAATTCGATTTGCCGAACGGCTGGGCGTTGGACGCCATGGTGGCGACGCTCGACGCCACGGGCGCCGAGTGGCACGCCCACGTGCAAGCATTGGGCATGGCCGCCGAGGGCTCCATCTGGGCGTCGGGCATCGGGTCCCTGGCGATCGAGTACGGCGGCATGTTCGACTACGCGACGTTCGCGCCCGGGAGCCTCGACGAGTACGACTGGTGCAACGCGTCCTCCGTCTGCGGGCCCGGGGACGCGAACTCCATTGTCTGTAATTAGCGAGAAACCTGTCCTACCCGCGGTTGAAGTTCGACGCGCCGCGCTGGAGGCCCGCGCGCGTGCCGCGGCGCGCGCGCTTCTCGTTGTTGTTGTGGCTGTGCTTGAGGATCATGTCGATGGCCGTCGCGCACTTCTCGGTGACGGCGTCCGCGTCGTGCTCGTCGGCCTCCCACTTGAGCATGGCGAGGCGCAGCACGGCCTCGAGGAACTCCGCGTAGGACATGAGCTGCGCGGAGCTGAGGTTGCCCTTCGGCGCGTCCTTGCGCTTCGGCGCCTTCTTCGGCGCGAGGTCCCCCGAGTCGAGGTCGATGTCCGTCTGGGCGCCCGCGAAGGCCTGGCGCACCTCCTTGAGCGTGAGCTCGTCGTCGTCGCCCTGGGACCGGAGGAGCGTCGAGTCCTCGATGAGGACCTGGAATTCGGCCATGGTCATGTAGCCCTCGAGCAGGTCCATCTTCTCGGCCTTGCCCGGCGGCTTCGAGGGCAGGTACGTCATATAGACGCCCAACAGTGCGTCGTGGTGCTCGTAGAAGCGCGCGAGCACCGCGTCCGTGTTGAGGCACTCCTTCGTGACGATGCCGATCAGTTGCGTCGCCTGCTTCTTCAGAGCCAGCGCGACGCGCGTGTCGACGAAGGTCCGGAGCATCTCCGCCGTCGACATGAAGCCGTGCTTCGCGACGCCTTGCCGCGTGATCATGCTCTTTTTGCGCTCGTGGCCGCCGCCCGCGATGAGCGCGAGCGCGCCCTTCTTGGCCTTGGACGCCTCGGCCGTCGCCTGCTGCGCGACCTGCGCGAGCCAGATGAGCGACGTCAGGAACTGGTAGAGCTCCATGTGGCCGCCCTTGACCTGCTGCGGCGGGATCTCGCAGGCCTCGGCGAAGCACACGTTGAGCAGCGCGTGGTCCGCGAAGCCGCCCGGGCCGAAGACGCCGACGTCGCGCGCGAAGGCGCAGAACTCGCTGAACTCGAGCTGGTGCGCGTCCGCCAGATTCTGCGTGCCCGCGCTGTAGAACTTGAAGAGCTCCGACAACTCCAGGAAATGGTCCCGCAGGATTCTTCGCACCTTGTCCTGGTCCCGCGGGTTCCGGATGAACTGGTCCATGAGGCCCTGGCGGTTCATCTCCGCCCACGCGCCGTCGACGGCGGGGTCGAGGTTCTCCATCTGGAGCAACTGGGGCCCGATCATCTTGCGCATGGCGCTGCCCTTCTCGTAGTTGTCCAGCTCCTGCTTTTCCTTCGTTTCCCGCTTCATCTTGGCCAGGCGCGCCTCCCTTTTCCGGTACTCGTCCTCGAGCGCCGCGCGCCGCGCGGGCTCCGACGCGGGCGCCGTCGAGAACGCGACGACGGCCCAGTTGCTCCGCAGGGGCCGCCCGGACGCGCCCACGGCGACCTTGGGCTCCAGGGCGACGGCGACCTCCGCGCCGTCCTCGAAGACGTCGCAGAGGAGCGCGGCCGGGTGGAAGAAGGGCTCGTCGGCCGTGCGCACGCCGCTCGGGATGAGCTGCGTCGCCGCCGGCGCGACGCTGCGCCGGTCCCGCAATCGCGTCTTGCCCCTGGCCGCCGCGTCCATGATGAAGCGCTGGGCGGCGACGAGGCCGAGCCACTTGACGGACTTGCGGCCGTCGCCGCAGGGCACGACGATGCGCCGCCGCTGGACGCCGTACTCCACCGTCGCGTTGATGCGCATCATGACGCCGGACGCCATGCGGCGGCCGCGACGAGTCGGCGCCGACGGTGCACCAGGGGAACGGGGGCTGTTCACGACGCCATACCGGGAGCTGCCCCGCACGAGCGCCGACCGGTCAACGGGGCAGCTCCTTGGTGTTGAGGTCGACGCTCGCCGGCACGATCTCCACAGCGCTCGGCTGAGTGCATGCACGCGTAGTTGAGCTATGAGGCCAACGAGATCGAGCGCCGTCGCGCGCCTCGTCGCGTGCGTCTGCGCGCTCCGGCCGCAGCCGTCGCTCGCCTACGGCGACCGGCGGTCCCCCGGCCGGCCGGCGCCGGCCTACCGGTCGCGCGGCTCGACGACGACGACGCGCGCGGCGCCCAGCGCCGACGCGAGCGCCTTCACGCTCGACAGCGTGCGCGCGTCGCTGATCCGCCAGGAGGAGACGATCATCTACAGCCTCATCGAGCGCACGCAGTTCGCCGTCAACGGCGAGGTCTACGACAAGCGCGGCGCGACGTTCGCGGAGGGCGACATCGCCGACGCGCTCAAGAGCAACCCCGCGGGCTGCTCCTTCCTCGACATGATGCTCTACGAGACGGAGCAGTGCCACGCGCGCGCGCGGCGCTACCTGAGCCCCGAGGAGTACCCCTTCTTCCCCGGCGACGTCGCGCCGCCCGCGCTGCCGCCGCTCGCGTACCCCGAGATCATCCGCGACGACGGCCAGAACATCAACGACCAGATCCTCGCCGCCTACCTCGACTTCGTCGTGCCCCGGGGCTGCGCGCCGGGCGACGACGGCCAGCACGGGTCCACGGCCATCGCGGACATCGCGTGCCTCCAGGCGCTGAGCCGCCGCGTCCACTTCGGGAAGTTCGTCGCCGAGTCCAAGTTCGCGGCGGACGCCGACGCCTTCCGGGACCTCGCGGCGCGCGGCGACGTGCCGGGCATCCACGCGCTCCTCGAGAACGTCGCCGTCGAGGACAACGTCGTCCGCCGCGCGATGCTCAAGGCCGTGACCTTCGGCCAGGACGCGTTCTCCGGCATGGACCCGGGCTACAAGGTCGAGCCCACGCTCGTCGCGTCCATCTACCGCAACATGATCATCCCCCTGACCAAGCAGGTCCAGGTCACCTACCTCCTCGAGCGCCTCGGCCACGGGGACAAGGTCCCCAAGCAGCCCGACGACTGGCCGCCCTACCTCCGCGCCTTCGCGCGCGCGGACACGGACCCGACGACCTTCCTCGGCTACTAACGGCGCGTGTGGACGTGTCGGCGGAGCGGCGGGGTCTTTTGTTGAAGGCGTCGTTGCAGATTTGTTGGTTTGGTTGAAGGCTTGGCTTTGCCTGGCCGCCATCTTGTGCCGCCAGGGGCTGCCGTTGCGTAGAGCATGACAGCGCGCGCTCTGCTGCTCGTGGCCGGGCTCTCGGGCGCCAGGGCGGCGTGCGACGGGCCGGCGACGCTGTGCGCGAAGGCGGGGTACTGCTACAGTTTCGGCCCCGAATGGCTGCATGAGAATAGCACGACCTTTGCCGCGACCGGACGACGGCGCAGGAGTGCTACGACGCGTGCCACGACCTCAGTTCTACGAGTGATGGTTATAGGGCCGCGGAGATGGGCTACGACACGGACGGGTCCCTCTATTGCCGTTGCAAGCTCGGGATCTACGCCTCGTGCGAGGAGCCGCTGAGCGCGGCCGTCGCCATCGAAGATATCACCAGCGACCTACTGACGAACGTCCCCGGGGGCATGTACTGGGATTATAACGCCTTCCCGAGTTCCAGTCCGGGGGGCGATTATTGGATGTGCTACACGGGTATAAACGCGGACGGCGACGGCGACGTCGACCTGAGCGTCTACGTGGGCAACGGAGGCGCCCACGACGACACCAACTGCGGCGTCTACTCCTACTCCTACGACTATTGCGACCCCCTCATCGAGCCGCTCGTCGACTGCGCCTGCGACACCTACGGCGACTGCGACATCTTCAACCAAGACGACGACGGCGACGGCGGCGACGACGGCTGCGGCGACGACGGCGGCAGCGACGACTACGCCTTCCAGGGCACCTGCGACAGCTTCGCCAACTTCCCCGGCTTCATCGACGGCTGCACGACGCCGAACCCCTACGGCCTGTGCGACGCGCACTTCGACGCCTACCTCGAGTGCGTCTTCGAGAGCATGGCGAACGCCTTCTACGGCCTCAACTGCGACCTCACCTGCCTTCCGGACGCGGGCGACGACGGCGGCTGCGGCAGCAGCACCGTAGACGCCGCGCCCGCCGCCCGCCGCCTCGCGGCGGCGGCGGCGGCGGCGGCGGCCGCGCTGCTCGTCCTCTAAGACGCAGAAGACCCTCGTGTGGGCATATACTTACAAGAAAACGCGCTCACATGTCGACGCCCGAGTCGTCGGAGTCGTCGGAGGACGACGACGAGCCCGCGAGGCCCGGCATGGAGTCGGCCGCGGACGACGCGTCGTCGTCGCCGCCGTCGCCGCGGTCGTAGCGGGCCTGGGAGGCCGCGGCGGCGGCGAGGCGGGCGGTCTCGTCGCCCGCGGCGTCCGCGGCGTCGCCGGCGGCGTCGCCGGCGTCGTCGGCCGGGTCCGCGCGGCGCACGGGGAGCCGGCGGTAGCGGCGGTCCCGCGCGTAGGCGCGCTTCCGGCGCGCCTCCTCGAGCTCCTCGGCGCCGTCCTCCCACCACCACCAGGACAGGAACGCGGCCTCGCGCGCCTCCGCGCCGTCGTCGGAGTCGCGGCCGCCGCCGTCGAGCGCGTCCTGGAGCCGCGCGGAGAGCGCCGCGATGTCGTCGTCGTCGTCGTCGTCGTCGTCGTCGTCGGGGTCCGGCGGCGGCGCGCCGCCGGGCGGCGGCGGCGGCGTCGCCGCGCGCGACGCGTCCGCCGTCGACGCGTCGTCCGCGTCGTCGCCGCGGGCCGTTTCGGGCCGCGCGGCGCAGGTCGCGGCGTGGGCCGGGAAGGCGCCCAATGCGCAGGCGCGCGAGCAGTAGGCGACGCCCCCGCAGAGGCACGCGGCGGCCGCGGGCGCGCCGCACGCGGCGCACGGCGCCGGCGGCGCGGGCGCGTCGAAGGCGTGGAAGGGCAGGTGCGCCAGGATCAGGTCCTCCCAGACGTCGGCCCAGGGCACGGACGACGCCGGCTTGCCCGGGTCCCGCGCGAGGTCCGCGCCGAGGCGGCCGACGGCGCGGCGGAACGACGGCGGGAACGCGCGGCGCCGCGCGTCCCACGGCGGCCCCCGGAGCGCCAGGGGCGCCGGCCGCCGGAAGCGCCGCGGCTCGCGGTGGAGCCAGGCGAAGGACACGGCCGTCGTGTAGGCGAGCGCGAAGGCGCCGCCGCCGCGGCACGTCGCGCGCAGCAGCTTCTGCGAATCGGACCGCGGCGAGCCGCCCGACGTCTCGAAGGGCCCCACGACGACGCCGCCGGGCCGCAGGAGCCGGAACAGGAGATCCCGCGCGTCGCGCCGCGCGCCCGCGCCGACGTAGATGCGGTCGAACCTGGGGCACGCGGCCGCGTCGAGGTCGTAGACGTCGCCGACCTCGAAGCAGACCCCTACGACGCCCGCGGCCGCGCAGCGCTCCCGCGCGTGGCGGACGAGGTCCGCGTGGCGCTCGAGGCCCACGTGGACGGCGTCGGGGCCCAGCAGCTGCGCCGCCAGCGCCGAGAAGTAGCCCGTGCCGCTCCCCACGTTGAGGAACGAGAGGCCCGGTTTCAGATCCAAGGCCTCGAGCGCGGACCCGTAGACCGACGGCGAGCTCTGGTGCACGAGGCCGTGGCGCACGGGCATGTTCACGTAGGCCTCGTCGCGCACGGCCGCGGGCAGGAACGCCGCGCGGTCGACGGCGCGGAACGCGGCGACGACCGGCGGGGAAGACACCGACCGCTCCCTCACGAGCATGTCGACCATGGCCTCGAGCGTCTCCGAGCCCCGGTTCGCGAGCATCATGTGGCGCACGAGCGCGAGCGCCGTCCGCAGGCGCACGGGCCGCCCGCCCAGGCCCTCGTCGCCGCCGCCCTCGTCGCCCAAGAGCAGCACGTGGCGCCCGATGCGCACGAAGCGCTGGCCCTCGCCGCCGTCGTCGTCGGACTCCGAGTCGGAGTCGCGCGGGGGGCGCATCTCCGCGAAGGCCGCCGGCCCGGGGCCCTCGTCGTCGTCCTCGCTCGACGACCCGGACGACGCCGACACGAGGTTGGGCATGTCGCTCTCGCTGTCGCTCAGCGCCTCGCCGTCGTCGTCGTCGCCGCTCTCCGGGGCCTTGGCCTCGGCGACCTCGGCGTCGGCGGGGGGCGGCGGGGGCATGGCGACGAGCTCGGGGACCATCTCTTCGAAGCTGTCTTCACTCCCGGCAATGGACATCGTGCGCTTGGCCGTCCCTCGTTGAAGCTCACGTTGCCTAGCTCACGGCATATGGGCACTAATATGGGCAGCCCAAAAGCTGTCTCAAAGCCGCACTAGTGCGCGATGATCGTCGGCGCGGCGGCGCCGGGCTACAACTGGGGCGGCCTGACGAACCAGCTCGTCGGGTTCTACGAGTTCGTCCTGCTGGCGGCGTCGCTGAACGCGTCCATCTCCCACCCCAGCGTGCGCTGGCTCGGCCACCCGCTGGGCTGGCCCATCGCCCACTTCCCGCACGCGGCGCTCTGGGACGTGGACCACTGGAACGCCGTCGCGGAGGCGCACGCGGGCCTCCTGCCGCGCCTCGTCGACGCGCCGGACGCGGCCGTGGAGCGCTGGGCGCCGCTGAGCTTCGTCGACCCGCCGGACGCCGCGCTCTTCCTCCACAACAAGGGCTTTAGGGGGGGCGCGCGCGCGCAGGCGCAGATCGACCGCGTCGCCGCCTTCTACGCCGCGTTGCGGCCCGCGGAATTTATCGTGGATCTCATCGACCGGAGCGCGCCGAAACAGCCGTACGGCGCCGCGCACGCGCGGCTCGAGCGCGACGTGCGACACGACCGCTGGCCGGAGATGCAGGAAGCGCGCGTGGGCCTCCGCGATCTCTACGGCATGATGGCGGCGAGCGAGGACCTCGACGCGTGCCGCGCGGGCGCGGAGCAGCTCTACGTCGCCGCGAATTTCGCGCTCGTCGACGACGACGACGACGCGCGGCTCCTCGGCAACGGCACGACGCCCTGGGCCGGCACGGCGCTCGCGTCGTCGGCGAACGGCCTCGTCGCCGACGCCGTGCATTCCCGAGCCGCGGCCGCGCTCTACGACCGCGAGTTCCCGGCGACGGCGACGCCGCCGCATCGCACGGGCTGGGAGATGGCCGTGCCGGCGGCGGCGGCGAACTTCGTCGGCGGCGTCGTCGACTTTTATCTGTGCCGCGACGCGGCGTATTTCGTCGGCTACCCGCGGCTCTCGACCTTCGACGTCGCCGTGCTCGACGCCCGGACGGTGCGGGCCACGGCGTGCTCCTTCACCTACGACCGCGAAGGCGTGGCGCCCGTTCGTGACTTGAGCCGGCGCTACGCGACGGGCGGCGCGGCGGCGCTCCTGCCGCGGGCCGAGGCCTTTGGAGCGTCGGACGCGCTCTGCGTCCTCGACCCGGGCTTCGGCCTCGGGGAGGGCGCGATGTACTTCGACCGGGCGCTGGACGAGGTACAGGTCTCGGAGGCCGCGCGGCTCTGGATGCCGACGGTCTACCCGCTCATCCGGGGCTTCGACGGCGTGGACCTCGAGGGCACGACGCGCCTCGTCATGGGCGCCGCCGTCGAGGCGCGGAAGGCGTGCCTCAGAGAAGGGCGAGAAGCCGCAGTCGTCGAGCCGGCCGCCGCCGCCGACGGCGACGCCGTCGTCGAGGAGGACGTCGTGCGGTTGCACGCCGCGTCGGCGATGACGGCGGCCGGCGGCGCGTACGAGACGGACAAGGTCGTCGAGCACGGCTACGAGCGGGTCTACTGGCGCTACCTGCCGCCGCGGGGCTCCGCGCCGTCGATCTTCGAGATCGGCGTCGAGCGCGGCCGGAGCCTCGCGATGTGGCGCGCGCTCTACCCCGACGCGCATCTCGTGGGCCTCGACTTCGGCGCGCTCATGCCCGACGGATTTACGGAGACGCGCTGGTACGCGGGCGCGGACCGGTCGGCGCGCACGGTCGTGGTCCGGGGCGACGGCGGCGACGCACGGGACCTCGCGCGCGCGGGGCTCGATGGGCCCTTCGACCTGGTCGTCGACGACGGGAGCCACTGGCCCGAGCACCAGATGGCCGCCGTCGCCTTCGCCTTCGGCGCGCCGGGCTTCCTCAAGCCCGGCGCGACCTACATCGTCGAGGACGTCGAGACGTCCTACTGGCGGCGCGGCTCGAAGCTCTTCGGCAACGAGATCTCCGGCGCGACGCGCGTCGTCGAGGATTTGAAGGACCTCGCGGACGCCGTGAACCGCCACGTCCACGGCGGGCCGCGCGGCGACTGGACCGACGCCGTCGACACGGTCACCTTCGCCCACAACTGCGTCATCCTCACGAAGCGGCGCGCCTACGCCGCGGGCGCGGCGATCCCGCCGCGGTCGCCGGACTCGGGCGCGCCCTACCGCTTCCGGCGCTGCATCGACGGCGTCTGCGACATCCGGGGGTCCTCGAATTAGAGGCGGCACGCGTCGAGGTAGGGGCCCCAGAGCTTCCGCGGGCCGGCCTCCATAAGGACCTCCGCGAGCTCGTCGAGCGGCTCGACGATCATCGGGATCGCCGCGAGGCCGACGAGCGTCGGGACGACGTCGTAGGCGCCGCCCGCGCGCTCGAAGCTCTCCAGAAGCGTCACCGTAATGGCGACGACCTGGTGAATGGTGAACCCCGGCAGGGCCACGGACGCCGCGAGCTGCCAGATGAGCGCGTCGAGGCCCTCGATCAAGGCGCAGGCCGTGAGCGCGTCCTCCTCGTACTTGGCGCCGCCGTAGGCCTTGCGCGACTTATCGATCGTGTCGGCGACGACGTAAATGATCGCGACGACGTACGAGAACGGCACGGCCCGCGGCAGCAGCGGGCCGAACGCCTCGCCGAGCTCGTTGGAGTAGCCCGCGTATCTCAGAAATGTTTCCCTGTAGACGTCGATCTCGGACGGCTTTGCCTCCGCCGCGGGCGCCGCGTGGTGGCTCGGGCGCGCCATGAAGTGGTGGCCGGCGACGAGGAGCGCCGTCGGGGCTGCCGCGTCGGCGGACACTGTGGTCAGCACGCCAAAGTCCATGACCATCGTTGGGGTGGTTTTCCTCGGACCCCGCGCTTGGATCCTCAGCGGCGATCGGAGCGCGCTCGCAGAGACAAACAAAAGCAGGGCCATGGCTATCCTCGCAGCGCCGGATGGGCAGCACATGGTGGAATTTTCTTCGAGTCGTGTCAAGTACAAGTTCAGCTCACAGTGTTTTATTAATTAAGTTCAAGGATGAAATTGTGTAAAACCCGAATTTCGCAGCATGCTATGCATTCCATCTTGTAGGCGCTGATTGCGCTGGGGAGCGATGCTCGCGATCATGGGTCTCCAGGCGTGGGTCTTCCACGCGGTCGTCTCCGCCGGCGCCCAAGGGCGGCAGCTCGATGGCCAGTCCGTGGGGCAGCTCAGCCTCGACGCGGTCGATTTAGCCGGCGAAGACAGCGACGGGTGCGGCGACCCGGGGCCGTCGGCCGGTGACGCAGGCCTCATCGTCGTCTCGGGGACCGAGACGGGCGCCGGGTGCTTGGAGGACGCGAAGACGTGGTTCGGCGTCTTCCGCGACGGCGAGGAGGTCTCCGTCGCCGCGCGGGACGATGTGACGCCGGCGCTGGTGGCGGCGAACGGAGCCGCGGGTGCTGCAGCGCTTTTGGACAGCGACGGCGCGCTCACGGTCGTCGGGGAGGCGGGCGGCTCGCTGGTGACCTTGGAGGGCGGAGCCCTCGGCGACGCGCCGGTGGACCACCTCGCGCCACTGGACGTCGACGGGCGCGTCGTCGCATTCGAGGAGTACGGTGCGCTGCGCCTCCTTGCGTCCGACGGCGCTGGATCTCTCGAGGAGGTGGACCGCTTGGACCTGGGCGACCTGGCGGGGAAAAAGATGATTCTGGACCCGGCCCGGGCCGCGATCTATGTGGCGGGCACCCTCGACGACGGCGGCGCCCGGGCCTTGGCACGCGTCGACATCTTCGAGGATAGCCTCAACAGCACGTGGACGACGAGCCTCGGTCTCGACGAGGGGACGCCGCAGCTCCACCTGCGCCGCGCGTCAGGCGACTCTGCGGCGAGCGAGGTCTTGCTCGTCTCCAAGTACTTTTACGCGCGCGTGGACGCGGCCGACGGCGTTCTACTGCACGCCGACGACACCGACGGGCGGTGGCTGCCCGAGGATTCGGCCGCGCAAGCGGCCTACGACCCCGCTCGGGACTGCCTCTGGTCCGTCGACGGTACGACGCTGCGAATGAGCGCGACGGACACGGGCGCCGCGGTCTACGACTGGGACTACTACGCCGACAGCGCCGATCTCGTGGCGCTGAGCCCGGAAGATGGCGGCGACCCCGAGGGTACGGCGATCCACGCGACCGGCGATGGACGCGTCGCGGTCGTCGTCGTCTTCAGCGGCGACTCCTACTACGAGACGTACCTCGCATACTTTACGGAACCGGAACCGACGCCAGAACCGACGTCGCCCGAGCCGACCCCAGGTCCAACGATCGAGACGCCCGAGCCCTCATCGGCACCAACGCCGGAGCCTTCGCCCGAGCCGACCCCAGGTCCAACGATCGAGACGCCCGAGCCCTCATCGGCACCAACGCCGGGGCCTTCGCTCGAGCCAAGCCCCGATCCGACGCCAAAACCGACGCCGACGCCTTCGCTGGAGCCCGTCTCGGAGACGCCAGATCCAATCGCGGAACCCACGCCGAAGCGACCCGAGCCGACGCTCGAGCCGACGCCCGGACCGTCGCCCACGCCGACGCCGAGGCCGACGGCAATGCCCACGCGGACCCCGAGCGTTTCACCGGTGACGCCGCGGCCGACCTTCAAAGTAACGCCGACGCCAACGGTCTCGCCAACGCCGACGCTGACGCCAACGTCCGTGCCTTCGTCGCCAGAGCCGGAAATGTCGCTCGAGTCACTCGCGGGAGAATCGGAAGAGGCGCCGGAATCCGGGACGAGCTCTTCGAGCGGAGATATGGACGCGGCGACCATTGGCGGCGGTGCCGCCGCGGCAGCGTGTTTGTTCTTTGCAGTCGTCGCGCTCGTCGTCGTGAGGCGACGAAGAGACGCCGAGAAGCAAGAGGCATTCGAGGATGAGGCGACAGCGCTGGAGATCCTCAAGACGGAGGAGACGAAGGACATCGAATCCTACGGCGCGGGCCTGCGGGCGCCGAGCTGCACCATCGCCGAATTCGAGGTCGAGCTGCGCCACGTCGAGGACGAGCCGTTCGCGCGAGGCGGCCAGGGCACCGTGCATCTCGCCGAGTACCAGGGCGAGGCGGTCTGCCTGAAGAAAATGTCGCAACTCGGCATGAGCGCGGCGGACCGCCAGCGGATGTTCTCCCAGTTCTCCAGGGAGCTCGCGATCATGGTCCGGCTCCGGTCGCCGCGGATCGTCCTCGTTTTAGGCGTCGTGACGACCGACCCGTCGTACCTCGGGCTCGTCCTCGAATACCTGCCGGGCGGCTCGCTGCGGGACGCGCTCGACGCCGAGGGCGCCGTCGACGCGGAGCGCCAGCGCGTCTGGTCCGCGGACGTCGCGCGCGGCATGGCCTACCTCTACAAGTCGCGCATCGAGCATCGGGACCTCAAGAGCCTCAACTGCCTCCTGACCCACGACGGCCGCGGGAAAGTCTGCGACTTCGGCCTGAGCAAGTGCGACGACCTCGCGGCGACGCGCGCGACGGCCGGACTCTGCGGCACGCCCGCGTTCATGGCGCCGGAGTACCTCGACGGCGCCATGTTCCACCAGAAGTGTGACGTCTACTCCTACGCCATGGTGCTCTACGAGATCTGGACGCGGGGATTTCCGTGGGAGGGTCTCTCGCCGCCCCAAATCATCGCCAAGGTCGTCGTCCAGCGGCTGCGGCCGGAGGTGCCGCCGTCGATTCCGCGGGACATGCGCGCGCGCATGACCGCCTGCTGGGCGCACGACGCGTCGGTCCGGCCGAGCTTCAAAGACATCGTGACGAGCCTCGACGCCTCGACGCCGCGGCCGCGCACCAAAGGCCCGTGGGACCACGTGCCGCTCTTGGAGGGCGACGCCCACGTCCGGCCGATGCGGACCTACGAGCGCTCGACGGTCCTGAAGCGCGTGCTTGAGTCCGCGGAACTGCTGCACGGGGATTCCTCCCGCTCGACCCTGAGCCGGTGCTCCAGCGGCGGGAGCGAGAACCTCGGCGTCGAGCGCCGGAGGCTGCGCGACCGCCTGCGGGATTTCGGGCTCCGAGAGCACGCCGTCGCCGGGGACGGCAACTGCCAGTTCCGCGCCATCGCCCACCAGCTCTGCGGCAACGACGAGCGCCACGACGCCGTCCGGAAGCGCGTCGTCGGCCAGCTCGCCCTCGAGCCCGAGCGGTACGCCGAGTTCTGCATGGTCGAGGACGCGGAAGACGCCGACTTCGAGAGCTTCGTGCGCCGCATGGCCGACGACGGGGAATGGGGCGACGCCGTGACGCTCCAGGCCGCCGCGGACGTCTACGGCGTCGTCGTGTGCCTCGTGACGTCCTACGCCGAGCGCGGCATCTTCCGCGTCGAGCCGCGCGCGCGGCTGGAGGCGCCGCGGCCGGACGCGCCGCCCATTCCGAACGCGCCGCCGCCGCGGTCGCTGGGGTCTCGGGAATTCGACGAGGAGGTCGCCCACGTCGTGAGTGCTTTGGAATCGACGCCGCCGCCGCCGCCGCCGGCGGCGACGCCGCAGCACCGGACGCCGCCGACCGCGCCGCCCACCATCTGGCTCGCCTTCTGGGCCGAGTCCCACTACGCGTCCATCGTGCCGGAGGAGGACCTCGCCGGCGCGGCGCCGTCGTAAAGGACCCGCTCGCGATAGCTTTGTTCTTACCCCGCGGCGGTCCCGTTTCTCTCGCCGCAGAGCCCGCGGACCGCGGCATCCTGAGGCGGGCCGGCCCGCGCCGTCCCGTCGAGCCGGCTTCAACCAAGCCTAGTTGTCGCCAAGTTGCAGAGCGTGGCAAAAAATATAGGGCGATCTGGTGCTCCGCGGCCGCGCATCCACACCACCGCCGCCGAGCCCCCCGCCGCACCTCGAAACACACGTCTCCGACCATGCTCTCGTCCCTGAGCGACCTCATCACGGAGGACGAGGGCGGGCGGGCCGACGCGCGGCTCCACCAGCTCCACGTGGACCAGGTCGAGCAGCACGCGGCCATCACGGGCGACAAGGCCGTGCCGCGGCGGGGCCCGCGGCCCCGGGGCGTGCTGAGCACGCAGGACGCGCTCAAGGCCGCGGAGCACGGGAACAGCGACATCCTGGCGGCCTACCTGCACGCGGGCGGCGACCCGATGTCGGTGTCTCGCCTCCACCACATGGGCTGGAGCCTGCTCCACCTCGCGACGGGCTGCGCTTTGATGGGCGGGCTGACGACGTCGAGCTCGTTGACGTACCGCACGCGGCCCGAGCCCGACTGCCCCAACGGCTTCGCGACGTGCGTGAGCCTGCTGCTGGCGGCGGGCGCGGACCCGAACGTGCGGTCGAAGCAGTTCGAGTACACGCCCCTCATCGGCGCGTGCCTCAGCGGCGACGCGGAGTGCTGCCGGCTCCTGCTGCAGGCCGGCGCGCGGGTCACGGCGTCCGTGCGGTCCGAGGAGGAGCCCGCGGTCGACGAGGGCGGCGAGCGGCGCGCCGTCGAGACGCCGCACGACGCCGCGCGGAAGGCGCGCTTCGGCGAGGGCCACCGCAAGCTCGTGCTCGACGTCCTCGACGACCCGCCGCGCCTGCTGCCGCGGTCGCCGCTGGACGTGTCCGCGCGGCTCCTCGAGTATCTGGAGGGCGAGGAGCGGGAACGTTCCGTCGAGGTCCGGTGGCGCATCCCGCCGCAGCGCGCGTTCACGAAGCGCGGCGGCGACATCCAGCGCTACGTCGTGCGGGGCTACGTCAAGGGCGAGGAGATCGAGGTCAAGCACAACGCCGTGGGCCCCGCCGTCGCGCGGCGGCACCGCCGCGACTTCTGCGCGAATCCCGTCATCGACCGCGGCATCGCGCTGCGGCAGAACCTCGGGCTGCCCGTGCCCGACACGGCGTCGACGCTCATCCACGGCCTGACGCCGTCCGTGTCCTACCACTTCACCGTGTCCTGCGTCGCGGAGATCGACGACGAGATCCGCGAGTCGCCGCCGAGCCTCATGTCGAAGCCCCTCGAGATCCCCGCGATCGACGACGAGGACTGGAACACGGGCGAGATCATCGAGAAGGTCCTGAGCTACAGCTCGAGCAGCCGCACGCACCACCGGTCCCACGGCGGCCACGCCCAGGTCCTCGTGCCGGGCGACGCGCCGCGGGCCAACGACGCGGAGATCGCGGACGCGTGGGCGGGCAAGGGCGCGCCGGCCGACGGCGCCGCGCCGCCGCGCCGCGCGGACGCGCCGCCGCGGCCCCCGCCGCCGGCGTCGTCGCCGCGGGCCGACCACCACCACGAGCGGCCCGCCGACGACGACTGCGCGATCAGCTAGGGGCTGGTGACGTCTAAGGGACTGCTCTTGAGCTGCAACATCACATTGTTGACGATGTTGACGCTGACTCGGTTCGTCGACAGCTATGAGCATGCGATTCCTGCTCGCGCTCGCCTGCGCCACGCGCACGTCGGGCTTCGTCGCGCCGGGCCCGTCGCCCCTCCGCGCCGACGCGAAGAGCGCCACGCGGCGGCGCGGCGCGCCGGAGCTCTGGGACGGCTACCTGCAGGCCCTCGAGGCGACGCCGCTGCCCGTCAAGTGCGCGACGGCGACGTGCATCATCGGCGCCGGCGACGCCGCGGCGCAGGCCATCGAGGGCCTGAAGACGAAGGTGCCGCTGGACGTCGCGCGCGTCGGCCGCTGGGCGTTCTTCGGCTTGGTGTTGCAGGCGCCGTGGAACCACTACTTCCAGAACTCCCTCGAGGCGCTGCTGCCGTCGACGCCCGAGCCCTGGACGACGACGACGGCCTTGAAGGTCGCCATCGACCAGGGCATCCAGGCGCCCATCTTCACGGCCCTGATCTTCGTCTTCTTCGCGGTCATCGAGGGCCGGGGCGTCGAGGCGGGCGCGGCGCAGGTGCGGGACGAGCTCCAGCCGACGCTCCTGAAAAACTGGCTCATCTTTCTGCCCGCGACGGTCATCAACCTGGGCTTCGTGCCGTTGGAGCTCCGGGTGCTGTTCATCAACGTCGTCTTCTTCTTCTGGGTCATCATCCTCTCCCTGCTCATCAACGAGACGAAGCAGGAGACGGCCGCGTAGGTTCGCGCGTAAATATCGGTCGCCTCGTCGACGTAAGCGACTGGTCGTGAGGTTCGCGCGCCTTTTAGTTGGGGGTTGACGACGTCGACGGGGTTCCCCCGCGGGTCGACGTCCCGCAAGTCCTTCCGTTTAAAATGCTAATTTAGGCGAGCTCCCCGCGCTTCGGCGCCGCCGCCGCGTCGTCGGCCTCGCGGGCCGCGGAGACGTGCATGGGCGCGAGGGCCCGCTCCAGGTCCGCGTCCGTGTCGCAGCGCGCGCCGCGGGTTTCGTCGGCGTAGTGCGTCGCGTTCGTCCCCTCGAGGCTCGCGTCGTCGCCGTCGCCCGCGCCGACGATCTCGAACCAGAGCGTGAGGCGCACGGGCTTGGCGCCCGGCGGCGGCGGCCGGCCGCGGGCCGGCGGCCGCTCGCCGAGGAGCTGGACCTGGCCGCGGCTCAGCCAGAGGCCGTCGCCCGTGCGCCGCAGGTGGCGGAAGTCGGAGCGGAGCGACGTCGGCGGCGACTCGTAGGACACGTTGCGCTTCGGCGAGAACGCCGTGAGCTTGAGCACGAGGCCCTCGTCCGCCGCGCGCCGCGAGTCCTCGTCGCTCGCGACGAGCTGCCCCGCGGCGAAGATGGCGCCGTTGCGCTGCTCGACGCGCAGCAGGTAGGCCCGGCCCGCGGCGTCGCGCGCGAGCCAGGGGCCCCAGGTGCACTCGCCGGAGCCCTCCGCGTCCTCGAGGAGGTAGCGGACGCCGTCGTCGAGCACGTCGCGGCTCCGCTCCACGTGGACGCCGTGGCAGTGGACGAGGTGGTCGACGATCTCGTCGACGCCGCCCTCCCAGGCGCAGGCGTCCTCGGACGTCTCCAGGCTCGGGTCGTTGGGCCGCGTGACGGGCGGCTCGCGCGGGCCCGGCGCGCGCGCGGCCTCCTGCGCGCGCTCGACCTCGGCGATGTAGCGCTCCATCTCGCGCACGACGTGGGCCTCGTCGATGGGCGCCAGGTCCTCGCCGTCGTCCCTCGGCGCGTTCGACGGGAGATGGTCCTCCGGCGGGGGCGCGTCGCCGCCCGTCATGTCCGCGTCGGCGTCGTCGTCGGCCGCGGGCGCCGCCGCGGCCGCGGGCGCCGCGGCCGCGGCCCGCCGCGACGTCGACCGCTGGAACGGGCAGCGGAAGGGCCGGTGCTCGCAGCAGGCCACGTGGCCCGCGAAGGCCGCGTACTCGAGCTCGAGGCCGCAGCCGCGCGCCGCGTGCTTGCACGGCACGCGCAAACTCGCCGCGAGCTGCTCGAGGGCCAGGCTCCGGATCGGCGCCTCGGGCAGCTCCACGCGGCACGTCGGGCACTTGCCCACGCAGGCGTAGCAGCTCGAGCAGAGCGCGTGGCCCTGCTGGCACTGCGTGATGGGCGGGGCCATCATGCAGTAGCACACGGGGCACTGGAGCATCTCCCGCAGCGCCCGCGTCGAGTTCGACGGCTCGGCGCTCGAGTCGCGCGACCGCTTCCGCGCCTCCATGGTCGGCGAATCCCGGCGCCGCGCGGGGCGCCGGGATTCCAGGGAACACGCAGAAGGCGGTGTGGCTTTTTGGCGCGGGCTGGCTATAAAAACCAGGTCCTATGGAACTCATCCGTTCCAGTTATTGCCGTGCAGTTTGCACGCCAGTTTGCCGTCGTGTATCTGCAGCATCCACAAAGTGCCGCATCGATCGAGAGGCTGCGTCATACAGCATGCGATCGATCTCCGCTGTGGCCCTCGTCATTGCATCGGCCTCGGCGCTCGTCGCGCCGAGCCATGCGCCGAAAGGATCGCTCGTCGCGCGGCGCATGCTCGGCGACGGCGGCAACTTCGGCGACGTCTTCTACATGGGCTACGAGTACGCGCCGCCCAATGGCCTCAGCGGCGAGCTCCCCGAGGGCACCTTCGAGGTGTGCCTGAAGAAGCCGTGCGGCATCGTCTTCGAGGAGATCGGCACGCCGGGCGACCCGAAGGGCGTCAAGGTCATCGACCTCGTCGAGGGCGGCAACGCCGAGGCGTCGGGCGCCGTCGCCGTCGACGACGTGCTCGTGGGCCTCTCGGCCGTGCGCTTCAGCGGCGCCAAGTTCGAGCGCAACATGTTCCCCGCGACGAAGATGGACTTCGACACGGTCGTCGAGGGCATCGGCAGCAACAAGGAGGAGTGGAAGTGCAAGGACGTCTTCCTCCAGTTCTCGCGACCCGCTGCGCCCGCGGCGGCGGAGGAGGCGTAAGCGGCATCGAATTAGGGACAATGGCAGCGACGCCCACGATGGCAGCGACGCCCACGATTAGGACAGGGCGGCGACGCCCATGTAGAGCATCATGTTGGCGTAGGACTTCGACGACGCCCAGGACGTCGCCGTGCGGCCGTCCGCGTCCTTGGCGTTCGGGTCCGCGCCCTTGGCCAGGAGCCGCGAGCAGATGTCGAGCGCGCCGGCCTTGGCCGCGTGCATGAGCGGCGTCTCGCGGTTCGCGTTCGGGCAGTCGACCTTGACCTTGTCCTTGGCGAGCAGGAGCTCGACGGCCTTCAGCTTCCTGTGCTTCGCGGCGAGGAGCAGCGGCGCGTCGCCGCGCGCGGCGTCGCGCGCGTTCAGCAGGTCGGGCCGCTGGCGGATGAGGCCGTCGAGGGCGAGCAGCCTGCCCTCCGTCGCGACGTCGTGCACGGACACGACGTCCGGGTCCGCCTCGAGGAGCGCCCCTAGCGCGACGTGGCCGTGCTCCGCGGCGTAGTCCGCCGCGCGGCGGCCCTGGTCCGTCCGTTTTCGCCGGTCCGCGCCCTTGCGCAGCAACGCGAGCACGCCGTCGTCAAAGCCCGCCGCCGCCGCGTGCATGAGCGGCGTCACGCCCCGCTTGCCCGCGAGGTCCACGGCGACGTCGCGGTGCGCGAGGAGCCGCCGCACGACGTTTAGCCTGCCGTGGCCGCAGGCGGCGATGAGGGGCGTCGCGCCGCCGTCGTCGAAGCCATTGACGTCGACGCCCTGCATGACGAGGGCCACGACGCCGCGGTCGTCGCCGTCCGCGGCGAGCGCCGTCGCGCCGTGCGTCTCGGGCGAGTAGCGGAGCACGTGGACCGCGAGCTCGTCGGCGCGGTCCACGCCGCCCGTGGTCGTGAGGGCCGCCTCGAAGGACGCCGGCTCGTCCGGCGCGCGGTCCGCGCGGCGGAACGCGGCGCTGTCCATCGCCGCGCGCCGCTCCGCCCAGTCGAGCGGCGTCCGGCCCGCGCGGTCCGCGAGCGTCCGGTCCGCGCCGCACTCCAGCAGCAACAATATCGTCGACGCGCGGCCGCGTAAAGCAGCGTAGTGGAGCGCCGTGAGGCCCAGCGGGTTCGCGAGGTCGACGCGGCAGCCGCCGCTCCGGAGGAGCGCGCGCGCGGCCGCGGCCGCGTCGTAGCAGCAGGCGGCCATGAGCGGCGTGCAGAGCTCGAGGTGCCAGCAGGGCAGCGGCGGCGGCGCCTTGGCCGGGGGCCGGCCGCCGCGCGGGGGCGCGCGCGGCGGCGCGCGCCGCGCGGACCGGAGCCGGCGGCACTCGTTCGGCGACACGCCGTGGCCCAGGAGCGCCAAAACCTTGGCGGCGTCGTCGCGCGCCGCCGCCTCCACGAGGAGCAATTTGCGCGGGTCCGTGGAGAGCAGCTCGAGCAGCTCGGCTTTCGCGGCCTCGGAGCCCGCGGGCCAGTTGCCGGACGCCGCGTGGTCCCGCGGCGACCGGCCCCGGTCGTCGACGGCGTCCCGCGCGGCGCCGAAGCGGAGCAGGAGGCTCGACGTCGCGGCGCTCCGCCGCTGCGCCGCGTACATGAGGGGCGTCAGGCCGCCGCGGCCGCGGCCGTCGACGGCCGCGGCCGCGAACGCCCGCGACCCGTCGGGCTCGACGGGCGGGTCGAGCAGGATCGTCGCCATGGCGACGTCGTCGTTGTAGACCGCGGCCACGAGGGGCGTGTAGCCCTTGGCCTCGCAGGGCGCGTCCGCGTCCGCGCCCTGGAGGAGCAACGCGCGCGCGTCGTCGGGCCGCTTGTCGCGGCAGGCCTCGCACAATTTCTTCTTCGCCGGGTCGTTGCGCAGCACCGACTCGAGGGCCTTGGACCCGCCCTGGGTGCGGCACCAGGTCAGGGCCGACTTGCCGAAGCGGTCCTGGAGGCCGCGGTCCGCGCCCTTCCTCAGGAGCGCGATCGCCGCGGCGGCCTGCTTCGCCGGCGCCGCGGCGGGCGCGCCGTGCCTGGCCGCGCAGCGCTCGTCGAAGCCCACGCAGCGCATGAGCGCCGTCGACCCCTTGGCGCAGGTCGCGTCGACGTCGACGCCGTCCGCGGCGAGCAGGGCGGCGACGCACGCGCCGCTCCCCGCGGCCGCGGCCGCGACGAGCGGCGGGCAGCCCCCGACCTTCGCCGCCGGGTCCGCGCCCCGTAGAAGCAGCCCGCGCACGGCCGCCGCGTCGCCGACGGCGCAGGCCCGGAGCAGCGCCGCCGGCGTCGGCGCCGCGCAGGCCAGGACCTCCGCCACGGCGTCGTGCCCGCCGTCGCGCGCGCGCCGCGCGGCCGTGCGCCCCGTCGCGTCGGCGCGCCGGTTGCCGTCGGCGCCCAGGGCGAGGAGCGCTAATACGACGTCTAGATCGCCCACGGACGCCGCGACCATCAGGGCCGTCGCGCCGTCGGACGGCCGAGCGTTGTCGACGTCGTGGCACTCCAACTCCACGCGGTCGTCGGCGCCGTTCGACGCGCCCTCGATGGACAGCCGCCCCAAACATTTCGCGATGGCGTCGCGGTCCCGCGAGACGATGGCCGCGGACAGGGGCGTCGCGTCGAGGCCGGAGCCCAGACCGAGCGGGTCCGCGCCCGCGGCTAGAACCAGCCCGAGCTTCGAGCCGTCGCCGCGCGTCGCCGCGGCGACGGCCTCGTCCGTGAGCACGGCCCGCCGCACGCCCTGGTCGAAGGCGTCGGGGGCGATCAGACCCTCGAGGGGCGCCGCGGACGTCAGAGTCTTCCGCGCGAAGTCGGACGCCGCCTGGACGTTCGCGAACGCGTAGCCCCGCTCCCCCCGGAGGTCGTCGGCCCCCGCGAACTCGTCGACGAACCAGAGCGTCGACGCCAGCGTCCGCGCGTCGGCCTGGATGAGCGTCCAGGTGATGGCCGGGAGCAGCTCGTCCGCGCCGATCGCCGAGTAGCACTGGAGCGTCCTCCCCCGGTTGCTGCAGGCCTCGACGGCGGACGCGATGAAGCGCACGGCCGTCGCGAAGCGGTCCACGGCGTCGCCGGCGGTCCTCGCGGCGCAGGCGGCCTCGACCTCGAGCTGCGCGACGCGCCACTCCGCGCCGTCTTCGGGCGCCGACCTGGGCGGGAAACGAGTGATTCGACGTCGCTTCAACGTGAGCGATCCGCGCGCGCGCGTTCCGGAGAACGCATGCACGCGTCGAGACCGTCCCGAGGGATGATCGCTCGTCCAAAAATCAGCCGAAACGAGTGGAACACGGCCGAGAGAGGAGCCTGTGAAGTTGGGCATGTCGCGTTCTTTTCCCGCCCCGGCGCCGACGTCTGGCCCCGCGCCTTCCCCGCGGGGACGACGACGCCGAGGTGCTCCAGCCGTAGGAACCGCAGCGAGTGGAAGTGGACGCGCAGCTCGTCGTCGCCGGCGCCGGCCTCGGGCGAGAGGCCCCACGCGGCGTCGGCGACGCGCGCCGCGAGCCGCGTTTCGACGACTTTCCGGCACGACGCCCAGTACGCGTCGTCGCGCTCCTCGGCGTCGTCGTCGCGCCGGCTCACGCGCAGCGCCGCCGTCTTGTTCTGCTGGGGTTGGGGGGACCCGCTCGCGAGGAGCCGCTTCTCCCGGAGCTGGTCGACGGCGAAGTCGACGGCCCGTCGGAACATGGCCCCGGGCCGCTGGTCGCCGCCGACGTAGGCGCACCGGCGCAGGTCCGCGGCGTTGAAGTTGGCCACGAAGGCGTCGAGCTGGGCCCGCAGGTCCTTGGCCCCGGGCGCCGCGAGCGCGGCGTCGACGGCGCGAGCATCGCAGCCGCCGGCCGCGCGCTCCACGAGTAACGTGTCGACGAGCGCGTCGGGCGTCGCCTCGAGGAAGCCCAGCGCGAGCGGCCGCTTGCGCTGGCCCGCGAGGGCCATGGCGCTCTGGAAGGTGAGGCCGCCCACGCGGACGCCGTTGACGGACGTGAGCGCCGATCCGACCCCAGGAGGGGCGTCGGCCGCTCCGTAGCCCTCGTGGCCGTCGACGAGGGCGCCTGTTCCTAAATCGGCGAACTGGAGGCCCACAACACCATCAAAGACGATCTCGTAGGTCGAGCCGGACGCGCGCTTCGGCGACAGGAGCGACGCCTGGGCAGGAAAAGGGTGCGAAATTCCCAACTTCAAAGGCTCCTATCTCGGTCGTTTTCCGCTCGTTTCGGCTGATTTTTGGACGAGCGATCATCTCTCGGAGCGCTCTCGAAGCGTGGGTGCTGTTTCCGAAACGCGCGCGCGCGGAACACTCACGTTGAAGCGACGTTGAATCACCCTTTTCCTGCCCTGAGCGATGCCGCGTAGCCCCCGAGCCACGACGCGCGCTTCGACGGCGTCGCCGCCTTCTCCAGGACGGGCACGGCGCCGGCCGCCCAGGGCGCCTCGCCGCAGCCGAGGCCGCTCTTCTTCGCCGGTTTCGCCGCGTCGCCGCGCGCCTCGACCTCCTCGACGTCGACGCAGACGACGGTCGAAACCCCGCGCGCGCGCGGCGACGGCTCGTCCGCCGGGCCCGTCGCGGGCGCGCGCTCGCGGACGAGTGGCGGCTCCTCGAGCTGGGTCATGAAGTCGACGCGGCTCGGCGGCACGGGCGCGACGAAGGGCCGCGGCTCGGCGTCTCCCTGCTTCCGCTTCTCGCCGCCGCCGACGGCCGTGCCGAAGACGGAGTCGCTCACCATCGCGCCGACGGCGTTCGCGTAGGTCTCGCGCGTCGCGACGGCGTGCCAGGCGTCGAAGCGCCGGTGGGCCTCGTCGGTCCAGCCGCCGCCGGGCCCGTCGGGCGACGGCGGCGCGGCGGCGTAGACGCTGACCTTGGCGTGCGCGCGCAGCAGGCCCCGCTGCTCCGCGACGACCCAGCGCTCCGCGGTGTAGTAGGCCGGCCCGCCGTCGGACCGCCGGCCGTAGGGCGACGTCGGCGCCGCCGGCGCCGCCGCGCGCGCGACGGCCTCGCAGCCGGCCTCCACGGTCCGCGCCTCGTAGACGTAGCCGTCGGCCGTCGGCACGATGCTTTGCGTCTCGTGGACGGCGACGCGCCGCGACCGCGACGCGTCGTCGACGACGTCGACCTCGTAGGTGACGCGCCGCACCTTGCCCGCCGCGGCGCGGTCGTCCCGCCAGTCGCCCTCGTCGTATTTCGTGATGCCGCGGGCGGCGTTGTACCGCTTCGCGTGGCCGCCGCCCGTGCGCAGGAAGAGGGAGAAGAACGGCGACGCGGGCATCTCGAGCGTCGTCATGCCCACGAGCCGCAGCGCCACGTGCTCGTGCCACTGGAGGAACGGCAGGCTCGGCGCCACCGTGCTCGTCCACGCCGGGTCGGGCACGAGCGGCCAGGGCGGCGCGCCGGCGTCGACGACCTCGATGTCGACCATCCGAGGCGCGACGGCACCGCAGACGGTGCACGGCTCGAGCTCCTCCACGGTGCCGTACACCGATCACCAGCGGCGCGGCCACGCTTACGATGGGCCTCCCATCACGATCGATTTTGCCACAGTAGTAACATGCCGATGTTGAACCATTTTTCCATCGAAATTTACGCACGCGACGCGCGCGAAACAGCCTCGGGGGGGTGGTCTACGCGCTCGCGGCGGCTGGCCGAATGTGGACGTACTGCGAGGGGGGCGGCACGCGTCCCCGCGCGCGCGAGGGCCGAAACGGAGACGCCGCGCGACGCGCCTGGCGCATCTTCCAGACGCCCTTCGATCCGACTCGTCGTCCCGACTCGGTGAACTCGACGGTGCCCGCCGCCAGCGCGTACCTGCGGGGCTCGCGTCGCGCCGGACCCGCGGCGCGCGGCCCGAGCCGGCGGCGGCGCGCGCGCGGGACGCGGCCGCGCGCAGCGTGTCGTCGCGCCCGCGCTTGACGAGGTTGCCCGGGTGGAATTTCGTGCCGCGCTGCCGCACGAGGACCTCGCCCGCGCTGACCGGGTGGCCGCCGAAGCGCTTCACGCCGAGGCGCTGGCCCGGCGACTTGCGTCCATTTTTACTCGAGCCTCCGGCCTTTTTTGTAGCGAAGCGGACCGCTCCAGCGCTCGTGGGCCGCGCAGCGATGACGGTGCGCGCGAGAGACGCGAACATCGCGCCTTGCGGTGGGTGCGCGCGCGCGCTCTCGCTGCCGTGGAGTGGCTGATCAGCTCAGGATCTCAGCTTGACGATGGTGCTCCGCGGGATCATCGCCTTGGCGGCGGCCTGGTCCGCCACCGCTCTCGTGATGCCGAGAACGGCGCGGATCTCATCGATCCGCATGTCTGCCTTCGAGCCCGGCGTGACGAAGACGGACGAGCGCGTGACCGTCGTCGGCGCCAGCGGCTACATCGGCAAGGCCGTCGTGCGCGAGTGCGTGCGCCGCGGCTACGAGACGACGGCCGTCGTGCGCGACGCGAGCAGGGCCTCCTTCGACGGCGCGACGATCGTGGGCGCCGAGTGCGGTGACCTCGGCGGCATCTCGCGCGCGTTCGAGACGGCCAAGACGGACGTTGTCGTCTGCTGCCTCGCGAGCCGGTCCGGCACGGAGGCCGACTCGCTCCTCGTGGACTACGAGGCCTCCGTGAACTGCCTCGAGGCGGCGCGGAAGTGCGGCGCGCGCCACTACGTGCTGCTCTCCGCGTTCTGCGTCGCGAAGCCCGACCTGTCGTTCCAGGCGGCCAAGCTCAAGACCGAGGCCGCGCTCGCGGGCCAGGGCGACGTGACCTACAGCGTCGTGCGCCCGACGGCCTTCTTCAAGTCGTTGAGCGGCCAGGTCGAGATCTTGAAGGGCGGCGGGCCCTTTGTGTACTTCGACCTCGGCGGCGACCGGTCGGCGACGTGCAACCCCATCTCCGAGGCGGACCTCGCCATGGCCATCGTCGACTGCGTCGCGGACCCGGCGCGGTCCTCCAAGGGCGGCGAGCCCATCTGGAACGTCGGCGGGCCCGACGCGGGCATCTCCATGAAGGAGCAGGGCGAGTTGATCGCGACGGCGATCGCCGAGGTCGACGGCGAGCCGCGGAAGGAGCCCTGGCTGCTGGGCGTGCCCATCGGCGTCTTCGACGGCATCGTCGGCGCCATCAAGTGGGCCTACGACCTGACGGGCTCGCCCAAGGTCAAGGACGCCTGGGAGCTCGGCCAGATCGGCCGCTACTACGCCGTCGAGGACATGCTCACGACGGCGCCCGCGGAGAAGTACGGCAAGATGAGCCTCAAGGAGCACTACAAGCAGGTCGCCAAGGACGGCCAGGAGTACGACCCCTACACGACCATCTTCGCCAAGGCGCCCACCGCGGCCATGAAGGCGGCCGCGCCGGCCGCGGAGCGGACGGCCGACGCGCCCGACGCCGACGCCGTCGGCGTCGGCACGCCCCTCTTCGGGAAGAAGAAGTAGGTGGTAACGGCGCGTCGCTGGGTATCTCTCGTCGATTATCTGCGGATCAAACGCGGTGCAACTTGCACAGCACATCGCGATCGCAGATCAAATTGCCACAGCCCCTGCAGAGCTCTGTGGCCAATCGAGGTGGAAGTCGTCTCACCGCGCAGCCTCGCGCCGCCGGACCCGCGCCGCGGCCGCCATGGCGGGCTACGCGCCGACGGAGCTGTCCAAGGAGAAGATCGAGCGCATGTTCGGCACGACCGGCGAGGTGAAGCAGAACAACCTGCCCGTGGTCTTCTTCGACGTCGCCGCGTCGACCCTGCCCCTGGGGCGCATCGTCGTCGAGCTGCGGGCCGACGTCTGCCCGTTGACCTGCGAGAACTTCCGCGCGCTCTGCACGGGCGAGAAGGGCACGGGCCGCAACCGCAAGGCGCTGCACTACAAGGGCAGCCGCATCCACCGCGTCGTGCCCAACTTCATGGTCCAGGGCGGCGACTTCACGCGGAACAACGGCACGGGCGGCGAGTCCATCTTCGGCATGAAGTTCGCCGACGAGAACTTCCACCTCAAGCACGGCGGCGCGGGCGTGCTGTCCATGGCGAACGCGGGCCCGAACACGAACGGCTCGCAGTTCTTCCTCTGCACGGCCGCCGCGCCCTGGCTCGACGGCAAGCACGTCGTCTTCGGCCAGGTCGTCCGGGGCATGGACGTCCTCAAGCAGGTCGAGATGCTCGGCAACCCCGACGGCACGCCCAGCGAGCCCATCACCATCATCGAGTGCGGCCAGCTCGCGTGACTCCGGTAAGCGCCATTTTAGCCTCCCGGGGGCCGGCGTCGCGGCGGCGCCGGCGGGGGGGAGACGCGCCACCCGCCGAGAAAAAAGCCGCTCACTTGAACATGGCGGTGACGGACGCGGTCACGTCGCCGACGGCCTTGTTGAGGCTCTCCGCCGCGCCGGCCATCATGTCCGTCTTCTCGGGCACGGTGCCGGTCGCGACCTGCTCGAGGCGCTTCTCGATGGCCGCGTTGACCGCCGGCGTGCGGAGCTTGGGGAAGTACTGGGCCGCGCACTGGCGGACGGCCTCCGCCGTCGTCGGGTACGGGTGCATGACGCCCGCGATGTCCTTGCAGCCGATGCCGTTCTGCATGCAGACCGTGATCTCCGAGATCAGGTCGCCGGCGCAGGGCCCGACGATCGTCGACCCCAGGATCTGGTCGCTGCCCTTGGCGCAGGAGATCTTCACGAAGCCCGACGTGACGCCCTCGCACTTGCAGCGGTCGACGTCCTTGAACTGGCGCACGTAGGTGTCGTAGGCGATGCCCTTGTCGTCCATCTCCTTCTCGTAGAGGCCGACGTGGGCGATCTCCGGGTCCGTGTACGTCGCCCAGGGCACGAGCAGGTCCGAGTGCTTCGAGTTCGCCTGGAGGAACATGTTCCGCACCGCGCACCGCGCCTGCCAGTCCGCCGCGTGCGTGAACTTGTAGGGCGACGCGCAGTCGCCGCAGGAATAGATGTTCGGCGCCGACGTCTCGTAGAGGTCCGAGATGTGGACGCCCGTGCGCGTGTCGTAGTCGACGCCCGCCTCGTCCAACCCGATCCCGGAGACGTTCGGCGCGCGGCCCGTCGCGTTCAACAGCGCCTCGCACTGGAAGACCTTGGCCGTGCCGTCGCTCAGCGTCACGGAGACGTCGTAGGTCGGCCAGGGCGCCTTCATGGCGAGCTCGCCCGCGAGCTTGATGCCCGTGATCTTCACGGCGTAGTGGACCTCGACGCCGTCCGCGATCAACGCCTCCGTGACGAGCTTCGCGGCGTCCGGGTCCTCGCGGGGCAGGAGCTGGGGCGCCACCTCGAAGATGGTCACGGCGCAGCCGAAGCGCTGGAGCGACTGGGCCATCTCGATGCCGATGGGGCCCGCGCCGATGAGGCACGCGCGCGGCGGCAAAGCTTCTAGATTGAAGAAGTTGCCGTTCGTCAGGTGGGGGCAGTCCCGCAGGCCCGGCACGGGCACGACGGCCGCGGACGCGCCCGTGGCGATCATGCACTTGTCGAAGGCCACGGACTGCGTCTCGCCCCCGTGCGACGTGATGACGACCTCCGTCGGGCTCGCGAATTTCGCCACGCCGACGCAGACGTCGTCGCAGAAGTCGCGGCCGTAGCGCTCGACGCCGTCGTGGGGCGCGATGCCCGCGCGCAGCGCGCGCATGCGCTTCATGACGAAGCCGAAGTCGACGGTGACGTCGCCGGAGACGGTGACGCCGAAGTCGGCCGCGTGCTTGAGCTCGTGGCACTTGCGCGCGCAGGCGATGAGGGCCTTGGACGGGAAGCAGCCCACGTTGAGGCAGTCGCCGCCCATGTAGTGCTTCTCGATGAGCAGCGCCTTCTTGCCGAGGCTCTTGGCGACGATGACGGAGAGGAGGCCGGCGACGCCCGCGCCGATGACCACTAAATCGTACTTCTCCTTGAGCTTGGGGAAGTGGGCCTTGGGGCCGACGTGGGCGACGGCGGAGACGACGTGCTCGCAGTCCGCCGGGCCCATGGCGTACTCCGGCGCGACGCACGCCGGGTTCTTGTTGCCGCGCGGGATGGTGATCTCCGGCGACTTGCCCTTGTTGTAGAGCGACCCCAGCAGGTTGTTGATGTCCGTCTCGCCGGCGTCGAGGGCCGCGAGGACCGCGGCGGCGTCGGCCTCGCTCATGGTGTGCTGTGCTGGCTCGCTACGGGCTGCGGCGACGCGTGGATGGCGTCTTCTATCTGTGGTAATTTGGATGATGCGTGGACGTCCGAAACTCAGAGGTGCATGATTTGAGCATCGCAAACCTTTGACGGGGCTGCCGCCGGAGCGCTGGAGGCGCTCGTGGAGGCGGGCTGGGACGCTCGACCCAAGCGATTGACAAGATGGGCAAGGGACGCGGGTCTGCAGCGGACTTCGAATTGGAGATGCAGATGGACGGCTACGGCTACGACTCGAACGGCGAGTGGGATGGCGCGCGCGCGTACGAGGAGTTACTGGAGAGCGCGGATGATGAAGCGTTGGAGATCCGGCGGGAGCGAGACGCAGCCGCCTTGGAGGCCGAGCGGCAGCAAGAAGAAGTTTTGGAGGCCGAGCGGCAGAGAGAGGACGAGCTGGATCGAGCTGAAGCCTTGGCCGAGGAGCGCGTTGATGGCGTTCCATCCGTCGTCGCCGTCAAGAACTTCGGTGAGAGCGTCGTAGTCGCTCGCGTCCTCGGCGCCGAGCGGCGGAGAGAAGCCGAGCGAGCGCGAGAAGCCGACGACGAGCCGCGCGTGCTCGGGAGCCGCAGCGCCGCAGAGGCGGCGACCACTCGGCTCGAGGAGGCCCGAGCATCCGGCCAGGTCATCGAAGTTGAGTCTCATGAACCACCGATGAAGAGGGCGCGCACCGAAGGAGAAGCGCCGCCGAAGAAAGTGCCGAAGAAAGCATCTGGTGCGCCGGTGATCAAAGTCGAGCCGCCCGAGCCACCGATGAGCGGCTCGCGCGCGGGGGGAACATAAGAAGATGCGGTGCCCGGAAGCTAGTGCCCGAGCGAACGCGTATGCGGTGCAAATGTTAAAGGGCGCGGGCCGTTCCGCGTCGAGCTTCTTCGCCTGGTACTCGGCGACGAAGTCGCCGATGGCGCGGTTCGCCATGTCCTGGAGCTTCGCGATGCCCGCGTCGAGGGCGTCGGCCCGTGGTCGGCTGAGCTTCGCCGAGGTCGGCTTCCGGCTGACGGTGGAGTCGTAGTTGCCGTCGTTGACGGTCGACGAGATCTCGGGGAGGTGGATCGTGCCCTTGACGGTCACGGGGCCGGGCCCCGGCAAGGGCTCGGCGGGGAAGGACGCCTCGAAGGCCAGGTCCGCCGCGTACTCGAAGACGTGGCGCGCGCGGCCGCGCGAGACGACGATCGACGCCTCGCCCTTGCAGTTCTTCACGGCCGTGACGAGGAGGGCGCAGCCGTCGACGTTCGCCGCGGCGGTCTTGAGGTGCTTCTTGAGCGCGTCGTCGCACCAGCTCTTCATGTCGCGCTCCTCGAACGTCGTGCCCGCGGCGTTCCACGCGGACCCGTCCGAATTCACGCGCTCGAGCGCGTCGCTCGAGTCGATCTTCTTCGGCGCCTGCTCCTGCTTGAGCAGGTCCGCCGTCGTCGCGTCGGGCACGTTCGTGAAGTAGGACGTGCGCCGGCCGTTGGGCAGCGTCTTGTAGCCCTTGCACGACTTGAGGTCCAATTCGTCGTCGACGACGACGCGGTCGTCGCCGCGCTCGGCGCGCTCCTTGCGGCGCATCTCGTCGCGGAGCTTCTGGACGCGGTCCCGCTCCTTCTTCGCCGCGTCCTCCTTCTTCTTCTCCTCGGCCTTCTCGGCCTTCTCCCAGTCGGCGTAGGAGATGGCGTCCTCGCCGCGCGCCTCGCGCTCCTTGTTCTCGTCCTCGTGGCGCCGCCGCTTCTTCGCGGATGCGAGCTGCTCGTCGCGCTTCTTCTTCTCCTTCTCCGCCTCCTTGTCGCCGTAGAGGCCCTTGCCGGCGTTGAGCGCGCCGCCGAAGCGCTTCTTCTCGGCCGCGCGCTTCTCCCGCAAACCCGCGGTGAGCTTGGCGAGCTCGCGCTTCGCGTCGCGGTTGCCCGGCTCGAGCTCGACGCAGCGCTTGAGGTCGGACGCCGCGGACTCGATCTGGAGGAGCTTCGCGCGCGCGCAGCCGCGGCGGTAGAGCGCCTTGACGCACTCGGGTTGCACGGCCAGCGCGCCGTCGGCGCTGCCGATGGCGTCCTCCCAGCGCTCGAGCTTGAGGAGCGCCATGGCGCTGTTGAGGTGCAGCGACACGCGCACCTCGCGGAGCTCGACGGCCGCGAGGTCCGGCGCGTCGTCCTTTTTGGCGTCGTCGTCGTCGTCGTCGCTGTCCTTGACGAGCGCGTCGTCGGCCTTCTTCTGCGCCTTCTCGAAGGCGACGAGCACGTCGATGCCCTTGGCGTACTCGGACACGGCGTCCGTGTAGACGCCGTCCTTCAAGAGCTGGTTGCCCGTCTCCTTGAAGGCCAGCGCCTCGGCGACGACGGCGAGGCCGTCGGGCGGCGCGTCCTTGGCGCCGGACGACTCCGCCGCGTACCACGGCTTCGCGTCCGAGGCGGTGACGCCCACGTCGTCGGTGTCGGCCATCGCGTCGACGCGTCGAAGCCCACTCGCAGCGACGCTGTCGGTGACGGGCCGCCCCCCGGCTTCGATCGAGCTCGGCCGGCTCGGTCGGCGAGCGCCTGATTTCACCACACGATGGTGGTGCACCAATTGTAGCGTCTCGGTAGCGAAACACCCGAAGCGCCGACCCGCGCGACGACGATGAGCAGCGGCGCGAGCGCCGCGAGCGTCTTCACGCGGCAGCCCGTGCCGGGCTCCGTGCTGAGCGGCCACCTGTCGCACCTGCCGCTCTGCTGCCAGCTGCGGCTCAAGGACATGGTGCAGACGGGCGCCTTGGGCCCCGCGGACCTGGACCCGAAGCTCATCATCGACCTCTGCAACATGCCCGAGGAGAGCGCGCTCGTCTGCGTCGAGCGGTTCCTCAATTCGAACCTCTTCCAGATCCGGAACAAGAGCGGGTTCATGGTCGGCGTCATCAGCCGCTTCAAGCAGGAGGCGGGCCGGGGGGGAATGCGGAACCGCGGCGACGGGCCGAAGGCGAACGTCGCGGGCCACGGCGACCCGGCGAAGACCATCTACGTCGGCAAGCTCGGCGGCTGCGTCGCGGCGGACGTGCTCGCGGAGATCTTCGGGTGCATCGGGCCCGTGACCGACGCGCGCGTCGACGGGTCCGGCGCGTTCGCGTTCGTCGAGTTCCGCGACGCCGAGGCCGCCGAGGCCGCGGCGGCCATGGACGGCACGGACATCGCGGGCCAGCGCATCGCCGTGCGCCCCGCCAAGGCCAAGGAGCTCGACGCGTCGACAATCGAGCGCGTCGCGGCGCTCCACGAGGCCGCGGACGCGCTCCAGCGCGAGCTGCCGTCGACGATCACGGCGGGCCTCGGCGTCGTCGGCCCGACGCAGCTCACGGCCCTCGCGTCCATCACGTCGCCCGCGGCGCTCGCCGCGCTCCGCCGCGGCGGCGACGAGCGCGGCAAGGCGCCGCCGATCACGTCCGACGCGCGGTGCACGGAGATGAACCCGGCGCAGCGGCGCGCCGAGGTCGAGGCGCGCCACCGCGGCCAGATGCTGGGCACGGCCTGGGGCATGTGCAAGCGCCGCTCCGAGAGCCGGAGCTCGTCGTCGCGGAGCCGGTCCCGGAGCCCGCCGCGGCCGTCCGTCAGCGGCCGTTCCCCGCCGCGGCCCAACGTCCAGACGGGCCGCCGCGACCGGGGCGGCTACGGCGGCGGCGGGCACCGCGACGACCGGCCCGTCCGCGGCGGCTACGACCACCTCGACCGCGTCCGCGTCGGCGACCGCGACCGCGACGACCGCGGCGACCGCGGCCGCGCCGTCGACGCGCGCGACCTCGACGAGCGGCTCCGGCGCGCCGTCGGCGACCGGCCCCGCGACCTCCCGCCGCGCGAGCAACCGCCGCCGCCGCGCCCCCGCTACGACGACCGCCGCGACGACCGCCGCGACGACCGCGGCCCCTACCGCGACGACCGCGGCGCCTACCGCGACGACCGCGGCGCCTACCGCGACGACCGCGGCCCCTACCGCGACGACCGCGGCGGCGGCTACCGCGGCGACGACCGCGGCGGCGGCTACCGCGGCGACGACCGCGGCGGCGGCTACCGCGGCGACGACCGGGGCGGCGGCGGCTACCGCGACGACCGCTACGACCGGGGCCGCGACTACGCCTACGACCGCCGGAGCCCGCCCCGCTACGAGCGCGCGGGCCGCTAAGCGCACGCTTCTCGAGCGCCCTTACCGCGTCTTCGCGCGCGGCCGCGGCGCCGGCGACGCCGGCTCCGGGCGCCAGGCGCGGACGACGAGGCGCGAGGCGCACGCGGCGGCGAAGGTGACGCCGCGCGGCCCATGCTGGAGGAGCGTCGCGTGGGAGACCGCGGCCCGGTCGACAAGGACCTCGCCGTGGGGGACAGCGTGCGACTCCATGGGCCGGTCCTTGCCCTGGAGCCGCCGCAGGTCCCAGATCTTGACCGCGCCGTCGCACGACCCGAGCGACACGTAGACGCCGTCGTCGGAGAACCGCGGCTCGCAGAACTCGGAGTACTTGGCCGCGGACGCCTCGAGGCCGGGCAACACGCGCTGGCAGCGCCTGTCGAGGAAGTCGACCTTGTACTTCTCCTCCGAGACGAGGTCGTAGGGCTGCGACGCGACGGCCAAGACGTCTGAGGACCGCGGCACGCGCCGGAGCGCGTGGAACTTGCGGCGCCGCTCGCTGAAGGAGCCGTAGAGCTCCGGCGCCATGGTCTGCCGGCCCTCGTGCAAATCATAAAGCGCGAGGCGGCAGTCCACGCCCCCGCTCAGCGCCGTCGCGTCGTCGAAGCACCCGACGCACGACACCTTGGCCGTGTGGGGGCCTGGGCAGGAAGCGGGTGATTCAACGTCGCTTCAACGTGAGTGTTCCGCGCGCGCGCGTTCCGGGAAAAGCATCCACGCTTCGAGACCGTTCCGAGAGATCATCGCTCGTCCAAAAATCAGCCGAAACGAGTGGAAAACGGCCGAGAGAGGAGCCTTTGAAGTTGGGAATTTCGCACTCTTTTCCTGCCCTGGTGGGGGCTCCCGAGCGCGTGGACGAAGCGCCAGGCGCCGCCCGTGTGGCGCGCGAAGACGACCTCGTGGTCGTGGCCGCCGGCGACCAAACCGGCGCCGCCCGGGAGCCAGGCGACGGCGGACGCGCCCTTGCGGAAGGATTTTTCGAGGCACGCGGTCCGCGCGCCCGTCGCGGCGTCGACGACGTCCAGGCCCCGGTCGCCGTAGGCGAGGACGACGTCGGACCCGGAGTAGGCCGCCGCGGCGACGGACGTCGACGTCGTCGGCTCCCAGCCGTCGAACCACGCGACGTCCGGCGCGAACGCGACGCGCGACTCCTCGGCGTCCTCGTCGTCCGTCGACGCGTCGCGGGCCACGCGGCCGACGTCGCCCTTGATCGTCGCGAGCAGCAGGGACCCGTCGCCCTCGACGAAGACGTCCCGAATCTTCTGCATGCCGCCGCGGCGGCTCGCCTCGACGACGCGGTCCGCGCGCGGCGCCGCGCGCTTCGACGTCGACGCGGCCCGCCGCGGCGCGGCCGCGGGCGCCGCGGGCGTCGCGCCGGCGGCCGGCCCCGCGGCCCCGGGGCTCGCGTCGACGCGGGGCCGTGTCCGCGCGGTCGCGCTTCCGCGGCGGCGGGCTCGGCGCGCGCGGCGGCAGTTTCGCGAGCTCCTCGCGCGCCTTCCGCTCGACGTCGAGCTCGCGCGCGCACTTCTCGCGGTCGCGGTCCGCCTCGATGACCCTCACCTTGAGCGCGCCCCGCTCCGCCTCGAGCGCGCGGCGCCGCTTCTCCAACGCCGCGAGCTCGCCGTCGATGCGCTCGTTGCCGGCCGCCTCGGCCTCGGTCTCCCGCGCGTGCGCGCGCGTCCGGGCCTCGAGCTCGCCCTCGAGCCGGCCGATCTCCGCGTCGCTCTTCTCGAGCGCGTCCGCGACGGACGGGGGCGCGGGCTCGCCGCCGCGGCCCCGCTTCGCGCCGCGCTGCTGCGGCTTCGCCGGCGGCGCCGCGGGCCGCTCGGCGCCGGAGCCGCGCGCGCGCTTGCCGTCGTCGCGCGCGCGGTCGCGGTCGCGCGGCGACCGGTCGCCGCCGTCGCGCCGCCGCTTGCCGTCGTCGCGCGGCGACCGCGACCGGCCGCCGCTGCTCGCGGCGCCGCGCAAGGAGCGCGGCGAGCGGTCGCGGTCGGAGCCCCTGCCGCCGTGCTGCGAGCGGTGGCCGTTGTTGCCGCCGTGCTGCGACCGGTGGCCGCTCCCGCGGCCGCCGCGGCCGCCACGTGATCCACAACTGCCGCCCATATCGCCTCGAGACGACATCGCTGACTCGCTGCACCGCACTGTATGAGATACTGTGGCAAAGCTGCGCGACGCTGCCGCGCGCGGCGCGAGGATGGCTCGCAGCGCCGCCGTGCTCGCGCTGCTCGCCACGGCAGCAACCGTCGACGGCCTCTTCGGCTTCGGCGAAAAAAAAACCGAGCGGCGCTCGTCCTTCGCGCACCTCAGCGACGCGCAGCTCGACGAGCGCATCTCCAAGCTCGAGATGTCCATGCGGCCGACGAACGCGAGCGCCTGGGAGCCGCGGCGCCTGCGCCTGCTCGCGGACCTCAAGGAGGAGGTCGCGAGCCGCGAGCCGCGCGGCGGCGGCGGCGGCGGCGGCGGCGGCGGCGGCGGCGGCGTCGCGATCTGGTCGCTCGGCCGGTGCGCGACGGGCACGTTCGCCGACTCCGTCAAGGAGTCGGCGGGTCTGGTCTACTGCAACAACCGCAAGGAGGGCTTCGGCTTCGTGGGCCTGTCGCCGGACCAGCTCGAGCGGTGCCTCGCGCGCGCGGCGCGGCGCCGCACGGCCGCGCTGACGCACGTGAAGCCGCAGCACCTGGTGATCCCGCAGTCGCGGCTCCGGACGCCCGAGGCCTTCGCGCGGGCGCTCAAGGCCGCGGGCTTCCACGGCGTCGTGACGATCCGAAGACAGAACCACCTCGCGCGGCTCGTGTCGAGCTTCGAGAACCGCGTCGCCGAGTGGGGCTTGCGCGACGAGCCGCGGAACCACTCGAAAGTCGAGCGGCGCGCGCTCAAGTTCTTCGCGGCGCCGTTGCGCACGATGGAGTGGGAGGCGGCGATCCTCGAGCGGGGCCACGCGGAGATGGCGCGGCTGGGCATGGCGGCCGTGGAGTTGGATTTCGTCGACGTCGTCGCGCACGTGTGCGCCGCCGTCGCGGCGGCGCTCGTCGCGCTCGTGCCCGGCGCGACGTCGACCTGCGTCGAGCAGGTCTCCCACATGGCCGCGTCGAAGCGCCACGAGGGCCTCGCGGGCCGCGTCGGGCCCTCCGCGGCGCGGCTCGTCGAGGACGCGCTCGCGGGGACGCCCTACGCGTGGATGCTCGACCTCAAGGCGACGGCCTGGCCCGACGGCGCCCTCCGGCCCGAGCCCGTCGCCCACCCGGACGGGCCGCGGCCGCGCGCACTCCGCGGCGACGTCGTGTAACGGTGATCAAAAACTCTTAGGGCACGAAGCCGCAGATGGTGCCTTGCGCCTTGCGCCTCCGCGCGTATTTGAGGCGGCCGAGGTGGTGGTCGTGCCAGAGATGCGGCAGCGTCGGTCCCTTGCTCGTGTCGACGCGCTTGCAGGGGTCCGCGCTCGTCCCGCGGCGCTGGACGACGGGGTGCAGGTCGTAAAGGTCATCCCGGAAATCGAAGAGCACGGTCCGAAGCGACACCTGGTCGTGGCCGTCCTTGCTCGGGTGCGCGCGGATCTCCTCGCTCCATCGCTCGAGGATCTCGCGCGCCTTTCCCGCGTCTCCGAGGAACATCACGCCGCCGTTGCGCTCGCAGAAGCTCTTCGGGATCTTCGTCTTGTGGTTCTTCGGGAGACAAATGTGCGAGGTTTGCAGGCCCACGGCCTTTTTCTCCTTGCGCATGGCGTCGAACATCGCAAAGAGGTCGTCGACGCCGCTGCGCCGGATCGCGACGTCGTTGTCGATGTAGAGCGTGCCGCCCGAAAACGCATAGTCCAACCCCTTCAGGATCGCGTCGACCTTGAAGAAGCGGAGCTCGATGTCCGTGAGCCGGCGGTGCTCCTCGACCTCGAGCGGCGCGACGGAAATCGAATCGCAGGGCAGGACGCGCTCCGCCTTCGCCGCCTCTTTCCCAGTGCCCACGATGAGTCGCGCGCGGAACGACGTGCGGCAGATGTCGCGCAGCACCGGGCCGAGGTCGTCGTAGCGGTCGATCTGGCCGGTCTTTGCTCGCGCTTCGTAGGTCCAGAGGCGTTCCAACGTCGTGGACGTCGCGACGAGGAGGAAGCCGCGCTCGCCAACCTCGTCGAGCGCGTTCGACAACGCAACGCAGAGCACAAGCCATGCGAGCGGTCGGCGCATCGCGCCGACGCGTTTCGCCACGGCGGTCGCGTCGAGCGATCGCGCGCGATCGCGTGAGCCCGCGGAGCCGCGCCCGAGGCTCGACGCGGCCGACGACGAAACTCAGGTGTCGCCTGCGCGTCGCCCCGCCGGGTCCGCGGGCCGAAGCGGCGCCGCCGCCATGGACAACGTGTGCCGCGAGTGCGAGGTGTCCTGCGAGGGCGAGGCGACGGTGGCCTGCGCCGGCCCCTGCGGCGCGACGTTCCACCGGGACTGCGTCGGCGAGACGGGCGCGTCGGCGCGGTGGACCTGCCCGAGCTGCGCCCTCAAGGTCGTGCGCTGCGCGCTCTGCGGCGAGTTCGAGCTCGAGGAGAGCGCGGACCGGTGCCTCACGGCGGGCTGCGCGCGCGCGGCGTGCTCGCGGTGCGCGCCCGCCGACGGCGCCTTCGACTGCGGCGGCCACGCGTGCGGCGCGTGCGGCGCGGCGCTGGGCCGGGGCGCGTCGACGGTCAAGTGCGTGCGCTGCCCCAAGGCCTTCTGCCGGGGCTGCCGGCCGGGCGCGTCCGTGCTCATCACCGTCGAGGTCATGAAGTGCGTCTCGCACGTAAAAGACGTGCTCCCCGTACTCGACAAGTCGCTGCTCGCGCGGCGGCGCACGGCGGCGATCATCGCCGTCGACGACGACGAGGGCGGCGACGGCAGCGACGACGACTACCGGCCCGGCGAGGCCGCGCGCGACGAGCTCCGGCGCGCGCGGAAGCGGCCGGCGCCGGACGCCGCGGACGTCGTCGACGTCGACGCCGAGGAACCGGAGGCCAACGGCTTCTCCGCCGAGGGCGTTGTGCCGCCGCCCGCGGCGGAGCCGGCCATCCCGAAGAAGCGGCGCCGCGGCGGCGACGACGACCGGTCGCGGCGACCGGCGAACGGCGGAGGCTGCTTCCGCTGCGGCATGCCGGGCCACATCGCGCGCGACTGCCCCCAGCAGCGCGGCGGCGGCGCGCCGGGCGGATCCGGCGGCAACTGCTTCCGCTGCGGCCAGCCGGGCCACCAGGCGCGCGAGTGCCCGAACGGCGACCGCTGCTTCCGCTGCGGCATGGGCGGCCACCAGGCCCGCGACTGCCCCGGGGCCGCCGGCGGGCCGGGCTTCGGCGGCCCGCCGCCGCCGGGCTACGGCGCGCCGCCGGGCTTCGGCCCCGGCCCGCCGCCGGGCTTCGGCCCGGGCTTCGGCCCCGGCCCGGGCTTCGGCGCCGGCTTCGGCGGCGCCCCGGGCGGCAACTGCTTCCGCTGCGGCCAGCCGGGCCACCAGGCGCGCGAGTGCCCCAACGGCGACAAGTGCTTCCGCTGCGGCATGGGCGGCCACCAGGCGCGCGACTGCCCCCAGGCCGCCGCCGGCGGCCCGGGCGGCCCGGGCTTCGGCGGCGGCGGCGGCAACTGCTACCGCTGCGGCATGCCCGGCCACATGGCGCGCGACTGCCCGCAGCCGCCCAAGGGCGGCGGCGGCCAGTTCGGCGGGACCTGCTACCGCTGCGGCCAGCCCGGGCACCAGGCGCGCGACTGCCCCGGCGCCGGCGCCGGCGCCGGCCAGTTCGCCGGCCCGCCGCCGCCCGGCGGCGCGCAGCCGCCGTGGCAGCCGCCGTATCGACCGCCGGAGCCGGCCTACGAGGTCGTGCAGCCGCCGGCGGCCGCGCCCGCGGGCGGCTCGCTCGCGTCGCTCCTCGGGGGCGCGCTCGCGAGGCGCAACGCCGCGCCGGCGCCGCGGCAGGCGGCGCCGCCGCCGCAGGCGCCGCAGGCGCCGCCGCCGCCGGAGCCCGAGGACCCGGGCGCCGCGTTCCGCGTCCTCGAGATGCTCGAGGCGCAGGGCCTCTGTTAGTACTGTGACGTCCCGCGACGCCGCGCGGAGGAACGGCGTGCGTCGTCGCGCCCCGGTTGTCGAGCTGCCCAGAGCTCGAGCGCGAGGCCCAGGGCGTCCGTCGCGGCGACGGCCCTTCCGAAGAATGGCGATGCGCTTCCCCCCCACTCCCCCGCCCCGTGTTCCCCAACCCCACGTAGAGTCACCTTCGTAAAAACGGCCTCCTACGCGGTGCCCGGCTTCTTCGTGACGGGGTTGATGCAGTTGTTGTGCGAGTTGTCGAGCTCGTCCTTGACGACGGAGTGGATGAAGACGGGGAAGAGGACGATCCACACCTGCGGGGGGGTCGGGCCGCTCGGCGCGCGCGCTCGGGGGCGTTCGCGTCGGGCGCGTCCGCCGCGGGCGCGGGCCGCGCGCGAAGATCTTCGTGAGCGACTTCCCGTTGAGCTCGAAGGTCTTCTCCGTGATCTCGCGCTTGCCGTTCCACTCCTCGACCCAGTAGTTCTTCTTCACGTTCGTCAGGCCGCCCATCCGTCGTTTCGGCGCCGCGGTCAAGGACGACGCCCACGCCGGCGCGGCGCGGGCCAGGGGCAGGGTCCGGCTCAGGAACATGGCGCGGGCGAGGGCGTGCGGCGCGGGCGCGGGCGCGAGCGGTGCGGGCCGAGCGTGCGAGCGCGACGAGAGCTGAAAAGCAGCCACACCTTGTCGCTGCCGACCAAAGGTGCAGGCAAGGTGGTGGTCCTGAAGGCCATCGCGATGGCTCATCGCGCAGCGCCCTAGCGGGCTGCCCCTCTAACGCGTCGTCGTCGTCGCGCATACGGACACGACGAACGACGCGCGGCACCAACATGCGCGCCGCGACGCTGCGGCTGCTCGCGACCGCGGCGCTCGCGGCGCGCGCCGACGCGGCGCTGCCGGCGGCGCTGGCGAAGGCGTCGAGCGTGCTGAAGAGCGGGCGCGTGCTCGCGCAGCTGCGGACCTTCTTCGCGTCCGGCGGGCCCGGGTCGCGCTTCCGGATCGGCCTCGAGCTCGGCTGCGTCGAGGGCGGCCAGCGCCTCGGCACCGCGGCGAGCCGCCAGTGGCGGAAGCCCGCGGACCACGACCTCCTCGACAGCAAGTGGGGCCTCGAGAGCTCGCTGCCGCTCATGGTCGCGTCGAGCCCCTGGTTCGCCCGGCCCGGCGAGCGAGCGAACGCGTCGCTCGTCGTCTTCCGGCCCCGGGCCCACGCGCGGAGCGACCTGAGCCGGTGCCGCGCCGCCGTCGACCCGCGGAACGACCGGACGGACCTCTGGTTCGTGGCGATGACGGACCGGGGCCGCTGCTGCGACGGGGGCCAGCTCCGGGACCCGGGCCTGCTGCGCCACCACTTCCTCGTCGTCGCCGGCGAGCGAGCGACGGGCGAGTGGCTCTTCCGCGAGCACTCGGAGCGGCACGCGTGGCGCGCGCCGCCGACGCGGGACACGGCGCCCCGCGTGCGCTGCTTCGACAACGCCATGGACGTGGCCCTGCCGCCGCCGGCGTTCCTCCGGCGCCGCGGCGACGAACGGGCCGCGGCGGCCGCGACCGCGCGCGCGCGCAACGCGAGCCGGCGGTGGCTCGCGATGCACGCGGAGGGCGGCGTGAGCCCGCCGGAGTACGACCTGCGCCGGGCGCTCTCGACGCTCTACGCGCCGGACTGGTGGGAGAACAAGGGCAAGGTCCCGCCCTTTGGCGACGAACTCTACGTCCGGAAGAAGATGGCGCGGCCCGAGCACGCGGAGGCGCTCTTCGCGTCCAAGTTCTGCCTCGTCGTCGAGGGCTTCGCGCCCTGGACGCCGCGCCTCGCCGAGGCCATCGCCGCGGGCTGCGTCCCCGCCTTCCTCTCGCCCGCGTACCGCCCGCCGTTCGCGGACGTGCTCGACTGGCCCGCGTTCTCGGCGACGCTCCGCCGCGACGACGTGGGCAACCTGCGCGACGCGCTCGCGAAGCTGGACCACGCCGCGCTCCACGCGAACCTGCTCAAGGTGCGGGACCTGTTCGCGTTCCACGTCGACGCGGGCGGCGCGGGCGGCGCGCTGCCGCTCGCGGTCTTCGAGATGTGGCGCCGGGCCCGCGCGCGCGCGCGCGGCGGCGACCGCTACGCGGGCCGCGACGGCCGGCCGGGCGTCGTCGCGGCCCTCGTCGCCGCGGACGGCGCGCCCGCGCGCGGCCGCGCGCGCGCCGCGCGCGCGGACGTCGCCTACGCCTGCGCGGACGACGGCGAGTCGTGCGCCTATTCGCTCCACGGGACGACGTGGAACTGCTCCACGCGCACGCCGATGGCCTGCGGGTGTGTGGTCGTGCGGTAACTTTTCACGTCGCGATCGTCCGCGTCGAAGGACCCTCTCCCTCCCAGCCTCCGGAGTCCGTTCGATTCGCCATCCAGCCGCGCCCACGTACGTGTCGGTCCCGCATGCGGGCAGCGCGACGAGACCTAGGCGCCGAGCGCACCCTACGCCTCAGAAAACGCCCAGGCGAGCCCCGCCTCCGAGGCCGTGATATCGATGGGCCCGAAGGGCGTGCGGATGGCGCGGAGCGTGCCGGAAAAGCCGCGGCGCGGCGCGCGCGGCAGGAAGAGCGCGCCGTCGATGGCGGCCGCCGCGTCGACGCCCGCCTTCAAAAACGCCCAGTCGGGCCGCCAGCCAAACACGGACCGCACGAAGGCGTCGGCGATGGACGCCGGCGGGCTCGACAGCGCGCGCTCCGTGTTGGGCCAGAACGGCGGCTCCCAGGCCTCCTCGCCGTCGAACCACTCGGGCCACGCGGGCGCGTAGGGCCCCTGAGGCACGGGCTTGCCGCCGTTGGGCTCGCCGCTGCCGCCGTCGAGGAACGCGGCGACGTAGGGCGGCGTCGTCACCGCGACGCCCTGCGCGGGCATCGTCGCCGTCGCGGCCTTGGTGAGGTTCCGGAGGAGCGCTAGCGGCGCGTCGAGGGCCTGCGTGAGGTCCGCCAGCGCGTCGACGGCGAAGCCGGGCAGGCCCCCGTAGGCGCCCGTGCCCGTCCAGTCCGGGCGGAACGCGAGCTTCTGCGTCGTCGACGGGTCTTTCGCGTCGACGTTTCGCATGACGGCGTCTTCGAGCGACAGCGCGCGCGCCCAGCCGTCCGTCGCGAGCTCGCGGAAGAAAAAGTCGGCCATCTCCCGGCGCACGGCCTCCGGGAACAAGCGCGCCGCGTCGCCGCCGACGAGGCCGACGCCGAAGGCGGCGTAGACGAAGTCCGCGAGCGACCGCACCTCGACGGCGGAGCCGTTGACGTCGAGGCAGCGCCAGAAGCCCTCGCCGGCCACGTACTGGTGGCGCAGGGCCGCGTCGACGATGGCCGAGGCGTTGCCCCGCGCGTCGGCGATCTCCGCGGGGTCGCTCCCGAGGTCGAGCGTCTCCAGCAAGCGCGCGTAGCTCAGCAGCATGCCCGCGTTCGAAAGTTGCAGCGCGGGGACGACGTCGCGGTACGTCGGCACGGCCTCGAGGAAGAGGCGCTTGTCGCTGCCGTAGTCGCGGAGGTAGGGCGACGCGGCGCTCTCGTCGAAGGCCGTCCAGGCCCAGGCGACGGCTTTGAGGTACTGCAGCGGCGTCGCGCCGCCGCCCGTCGCGTTCGTCGTCAGAAAGTCGACGTCGCCGGCGTAGGTCGCGTACTGCGACACGAGGAAGAACGCGGCCGCGTAGTCGAAGCAGTAGGTCGCGTTGCCCGGCGGCGCGAGGTCGTAGGCGTCCCAGGTCTGCGGGATGGCGACGGGCGTCGCGTCGAGCCGCGAGTTCGCGACGACGAAGTCGACGAGGCGCCGCGTCGACGCCGGCGCGAGGAGCGTCAGGGACACGGGCGAAAAGGACAGGTCCCAGAGGAACTGGCCGCTGCCGCCCATGTTCGCGTCGCCGTCGTACGCGTTCGACGGGCCCTCGCTGATGACGAACTCGTCCTTCGCCGCGTAGTCCACGCGGTCGAGCGCGACGAGGCTCAGGGCGGCCCAGTGGTAGAGGCGGTCGAGCGCCGGCTCCGACGTGGCCAGCGCCGGGAGATTGCCGCCGAAAAAGCCCCCGTCGAAGGCGCCGCGCCACCGCGCGTCCCAGTCGTCGCACGCGGCGTCCCAGGACGCGCGGAACGCGGCGCGGTCGCGCGCGAGGCCCGCGAGCAGGAGGCGCGCCTCGGCCGCCGTCGCCGCGACGGCCGTCGCCGAGAAGAGCCGGAGCCGCGCGCCGCCGCCGGCGACGAGGCGGAAGCCGTCGCCGTCGACGGCGACGGACGACGAGCCGCCCTCGGCGAAGACCGCCGTCGCGGCGACGGCCGGCGACAGCGAATCCTCCGACAGGGCGACGCCGCCGACGACGGACCGCTTAAACTCGCTCCGGTTGATGGGTAGCGCCTCGTTCCAGCCGCACTCCGACGACGCCGCGCCGAGGTCGCAGCGCCGGAAGAGCGGCCCGTCGAGCCACGCGTCGACGGACACGTTGGACCCAGCGGCCTCGACGTCCCAGGTCTGGAGCACGCCGTGCGCCGCGAAGGGCGCGCGCACGGCGTTCTCGACGGTTGCGCCCGCGCGCGTCCGGCCGCGGCGCGTCCCCTCGCACCAGGCCCAGCCCGTGTCCTCCGCGACGACCGCCTCGCCGCCGACGCGGAACGTCGAGTTGACGAAGTTACCGAGGTAGGGCGCCAGCGTCAGCGGGCCGAGGCCGACGACGCTGCGCTGGAGGTTGACGCCGCCGACAAAATTGACGATCAGCGGCATGGCGCGCAGGGGCATGACCTCCCATTGCGCGCCCAGCGTCCGCACGCTCGGGATGTCGCTGCGCTCGGCGGCGGCGAGGGCGACGAGCAGCGCCGCGGCGCACTGTCGCATGATGGTCATGCTCTCTGTGGCAATTTGCGAAGCGGCACCACGACAATTCCACGACTTCAAGCACCCGCCTTTTTTGCGATCGATGGGCTGCTCGTTCGCGCTCGCCATCGCGTGTGTAGCTTTGCTCCGCGGCGCGAGCGCCATGAGCGGCGGCGGCCCGCTCACGCAGAAGCGGGCCTGGGCCGCGGCGCCGGCGCTCTGCAACGGCACCGCCGGGCAGCCTCCGCCCATGCTCGTCTTCGTCCACATCTTCAAGAGCGCCGGTTCCACGACGCGCGCGACGCTCAAGGCCTGGTGCGCGCGGCGGCGCGGCGCGCACGCGGCCTGCGCCTTCGCCGCCGCGGGCGGCTGCCGGCGGCGGCGGCTCACGCTCGCGGCGTTCGGCCGGACGCTCGCGCGGGGCCTCGCGGGCAAGCGGCGGCGCCGCGGCGGCTCCAGCAAGCTCTGCACGCGCAACGGGCGGCCCCAGCCCATCGGGTCGAGCCTCGACGTCGTCGCGGGCCACGTCTGGTACAACACCTTCCAGACGCCCCGGCCGACGATCTACGTGACCTGCCTGCGCGACCCGCTGAACCTCCGCATCTCCGCGCTGCTCTACACGGGCAACGCCAAGTACAAGAAGATGGAGCTGACGGCCGCCGCCGCCGACGTCGCCGCGAGCCTCCTGAAGAAGGCCGCGAGCGAGCCCATCTACGACAACGTGCTCAAGCGCGTCGGCGCGCCGGGCCCGAAGAACAGCTTCCACGGGCCCATCTCCGCCGACGTCGCGCGCGCCGCGGCGGCGCGGGCGACGAGGGCCCTCGACGAGACCTTCGCGATCGTCGGGCTGACGGAGCGGTACGCGCTCTTCTACGCGCAGCTCGCGGCGCTCCTGCCGGCCGCCGGCGGCGACTTCTGGGCCGCGGAGCTCAAGCGCCACGAGAACCCGGCGCCCCACAGCACGGCGGCCGTGCGCGCCCGCGTCGGCATGGCCGCCCTCCAGGCCGCGAACGCGACGCTCGCGTGGGAGTACGCCGTCTACGGCGCGGCCGTCGCCATCCACGACGCGCGGTGCCGCGCGCACCTGGGGGCGGACGTCTGCGCGGGGCGCGCGCCGGCGTTCCCGTTCCTCGCGGCGTAACGCGGCGCTGTTTTTTAGTCGGCGTCGCTCGGGGGCGGCCGCTTGCGGTGGGGCAGCATCCACCGCGGCGGTGGCAGCGTCCGCCGCAGCTCCGCGACGGTCTCCTCGGACGCGACGAGGCCCTCCGGGCCCGGCGCGGCGGCCGCCGCGCGAGCCGCCTCGACCGGCGCCGCGGCGGCCTCCGGCGCCTCCGGCGCCTCCGGCGAGGCGGCGGCCTCGTCCGCCGGGAGGCCCGCGAGCTTGCGCAGCGCCTCGGCGATGAGGTCGTCCGTCGCGGCGTCGTCGTCGTCGTCGGCCTCGTCGGCGGCGGCGCCGCCGTCGTCGGCCGCGAGGGCCGCGAGCGCCGCGTCCTCGTCGTCCGCGGCGGCGGCCTCCGGGTGGAACTCGAAGATCGCCGCTTCCTCGGGCGCCGCGTCGTCGAGGGGCGCGTCGGCGACGCTCGTCGAGGCCTCCGCGGCCAGCGCCGCGGCCTCGGCCGCGGCCAGCGCCTCGGCCTCGGCCGCGGCCAGCGCCGCGGCCTCGGCCGCGGCCAGCGCCTCGGCCTCGGCCGCGGCCAGCGCCTCGGCCTCGGCCGCCTCCGCGGCGGCGAGCGCCTCGGCCTCGGCCTCGGCCTCGGCGAAGGCGAGCGCCTCGGCCTCGGCGGCCGCCGCGGCCTCCGCCTCCGCGGCTTCCTTTTCGGCGCGGAGCTCGTCGGCGGCGGCGAGGGCCGCGCGCGCGCCGTCGGCGTCGCCTTCGTCCGCGAGGACCTCGGCGATCTCGCGGAAGACGGCCTCGAGGGCCGCGTCCCGCGGCGGCAGGCAGCGGTGGCCGTGCGCCGCCGCGCGCGCGACGCGCGCCGCGGCCTCGTCGGCGTCGCGGAGCGCGAGCTCGCCGAGGCGCCGCCAGACGGCGCACGCGGCGGCCGCGTCGCGCGAGAGCGCGCCGGCGACGCGCGCGGCGGCCGCCGCGTCGTCGCCGCCGTGGGCCGCGACGAGGGCCGCGGCGCGGCGCCGCGCGCCGTCGTCGAGGACGTCGTCGTCGAGGCCGAGGAGCGCGCGCGCGGCGGCGGCCGCGGCCGCGTCGGCCGCGTCGAGCCCGTCGAGGAGCGCCGCCGCGGCCGCGCCGTCGCAGGCGCCCGCGCCGCAGGCGGCGGCGACGTCCGCGAGCGCCGCGGCGGGCCGCGCCTCGGCGAGGACCGCCGCGCGCTTCGCGAGCGCGCCGGGCCCCGCGCCGCGCTTGAGCGCCTGCCGA